ATCGCAAATGCGTCAAACGAATGACGCTGGGCGTCTCACGCCTGGAAGAAGCCGATGGGGTGCAGTGTTTAACGCCCCCCGGCGTTAAAATCGGTCATCACGCTGGTGGGCGTGAAAACGATTACCAGTGCTCTCAGACCCAAGGTAGTGGGGCATTTTACGTTGCGTTTCGTTCACCTAGTCTGATCTGATTTTTTGAAGTTCTTATTTACTCTGGTTTGATCTGATCTGATCTGATTTGATTGGATTTTATTTAATATAAATTCAATTTTTAATAGAATTAAAATTATTATAATACTTATAATAGCAGTAATAATACTAATAGTAATAACAATAGTACTCCGTAATATTAATAATTGAAGGGGTGGGGGCGTGTTCGGGTCGGGGTAAGGGGGTTTACCGGGGGTTAGGGGTAGAAATTATCAATTTTACGAACGGGGCACTGGAGCACTCCCGGGTCATCCCATGTCAATTATTACTAATAATAATAATAGTAATAATAATAATATAAATAATAAAAATATAAATAATAACAATAATAATAGTAATATTAATAATAATATTAATATTAATATTAATATTAATAATACTAATAATAAGAATAACAATGGTCATAATAATTATCATCAAAATAGTAATAGTAATAATAATAGTAATACTGATAATAATTATGTTTAAATCAGATTTGATCGGATCTGATCCGGTCTGATTGTATCTGATCTGATTTGATCTGATTTTAATAAGAATAAGTAGAAAAAATAAGTTAAACGGAACGCTGCCTTAGCCCCACATAACGCCTAATCACGTCGGAATTGTCCCTCCCTGGCTCTTGAATTCTAATTTCTGCCCAATTTTTGGGAATCAATTCACGCCAGAATGCACACCTATTTCTACATCATTTACTATATTTTGTGAACCACTACCCTATTTTATGATATAAACATAGATGTCACTCTTAAATATGTTATGTATATATTTAATATTAATTATGTGTATTTATAGGTTTCCTTCCGTAATTAGGAATCCTTTGTAAGTATTTACACGAGGCTTCGTCCTCCGTTATTATTCAATAGAAAATAACAATTCTTCATGGTATCGGAGCCTCTCATTGCTCTCCGTCTCTCGTCCGACCTAGCGTAGGCAAAACCCTAGCCGCGCCGTCGCCTCTTCTCTCTCTCGGCCGAACAGCACCCAGCCGCCGCCCACCCCTCTTCCTCGGCAGTGCTCTCCCCGGCGACCTCTCTCCCATCGGCGAGCAACCCCCCACCGATCATCATGTCCGAGAAGACCTCGGTCACCGGCACGGCGTCCTCTTCCCCAACTCCACACTTGGCGTTCACAACGATCTCGAACGTGAAGCTCCATGTGCCGATTCTCCTAAGCTTCTCTGAGCCCAACTACAAAAAGTGGAGCCGGCTCTTCCTCCTCCTCATTCGAAGGTTCTTCTCGGGTGATTTCCTCACCGGCAAGTCGTCTCCGTCTAGCGCCGACGACTCGGAATGGTTCCAACTTGAAGCTCTCATAAAAGGTTGGATTCTCTCAACGGTGAATGATGAAATCTGCGATTTTGTTCTCTCCACAACCAACTCCGCATCCGAGCTTTGGCGAGCCATCTACAACATCTTCCACGACAACAAGCCGGCTCGGGCGATGCAACTTGAACACCAATTCCGCACCACCACCAAGGGCTCTCTCTCCATTGCCGCTTATTGTCAAACCCTACGAAATCTTGCGGATTGGTTGGATGATGTAGATGCCACCGTCTCCGAACAACAACTTGTTCTTCAAGTCTTGCGTGGCCTCCCGGATGATCTTTGAGCACAAACGTCATTCCTTCAATACCAAACCCCCCGATCTTTCTCCAAACCCGCTCGGCCCTCCTCTTAATTGAACAACAACGGGTTGAATTGGGCGTCGGTAGCAATCACGGGGGGATGGCGGACCCTAAGGGTCCGTTTAGTACACGGAATTGATGGAATTGGAATTGAATTGGAATTAAAATTCCATGAGATTCAATTCCATAGAATTGAATTCACCAATTCCAATTCATTTTTTGCACTACCAATTCCAAATCCACATAATTGTTGTGCTACCAAACACGAGAATTGGAATTAAAGTCCTCAATTCCAATTCCATAGTTTGAATTCCATGTACCAAACGGGGCCTAATAAAAATACTACCTCCGTCCTAGTGTATTTGTCTCGTTTAATTTCTTCGAGCCAAATTGGATAAACTTTGAACTTCAATAATTACTCTCAAATTGTATTGCATATTATTAAGATAATGAAATACGGAGTACAATTTTGAAAATTCTCAATACAATAATTCTAATAAAGTCATTTTTATATTAAAATACATTACGGTTTTTATTTAATTGAAGCATAAAGTTTGTCATGTTTGACTTTAAAAAGTCAAACTTGACAAATACACCGAGACAGAGGGAGTAAAACAAAATAGTCCACATTTTTCACACTTTTTTATGAACTGACACGGGGATCATCTCTGTGTTTAAAGTTTGGTTCTTTCATGATATTTATATACTAAGATCCATAAAATAAGTGTAGACCTAAGAACCACAAAAGTATTTGCCTATATCCATATATGATTATATGCTTTCTGTTTTGAATTAATTGTCACATTACAAACAACATAGTTTAATTGAGTTTGATTTTAATTTAATATATTTAAATATAAATAGAGAATTTAAAATAAAAGTTACTCCGTTATGCTCCGTGTATCAAAAATTGTACGGAGTATCATATTCTCTATGAAACAAGAAGCGACATAAATATACTCAATATTATGTTAACAAATAACTCACAAAAATAATTGAAGAGAAATTAAAGAAAAAATGAATAGGTGAATAGTCACGTGGTAGAAACTCGTCTTAAGTAGTGGTTTGGAGATGCGGAGAGCATCTCGTGAGAAAGGTTGATCAAATGGTGAATATGCACGCGACTGGAGTAAGAGGTAGATCTAAAAGGACTTGACAAACATTGATCAAGGGAGACCTTCTCGTGAACAATCTCACAGGAGATATGATACACGATAGAACGCAATGACGTTGTTTGAACCATGTAGTTGACCCACCTAGCGGGATAAAACTTTGTTGTTTTTTTTTCTCTCTATAAGGTTATGTGTTATGACGGGTTTGATGGGGCGTAAAGACAGATGTATGATATGGAGTGATGAAGATATATGTGTTGTGGTGAGTGTGATGGGAAGTAATGAAGTGTGAGTATGTGTTAAATTTTGAAATGAAAAAAAAAATAAAAAAAGAAAATAAAAAGAGGGGCAACACCTGTGACTACCATCAAGCAGCCTTTAATTTGTCACACTTCCGTCACGCCTGCAGTGTCGCGATGGTCACATTGTGACAGAACGTGACACTTTTTTCACACCGGTAAGTCACACTCCACATGATCTTATCAATAAGTAATCATAGTAATATCAAAATTACTACGTATAAACGAGAGGGAGTGAATTTAACATTTTTGGGTATGCATATAGTCTCAATTAAGCTTAAATCATTAGGTCATTCTTTTGAATCACCAAACCGTTTTCGTGAGTTTTCTATTTAATTTGTGGATTTGTGCAAAGTGGAAATTAAAGATTGGCAAACATGGAGATGTCTTTTTCATACTTTATGTATGTATCATTAAATCTTGAAGATTACACTAATGTAAAGTCAATTTATCAAACCAAAACTTTAAATCCTATTGTACGTTATTATTCTGAATTCAAGAGATTCATATCCGGCCAGGACCGTATTTGATTGAAAACATATATCCGTACCCCCACTTTCAAAATTATGTTACTCCCTATAAAATTACGAAAAATTTTCCTAAATATTCCTGTAAACATATGCTTAGGAATAATTGTTGTACAGTACTTTTTCCCTAAATATTCCTGTAAAACTTTTGAAAACACCCTTTTATAGTTGCAGTACTACGTATTAAGTCTTTAGCATTAGTTCTTTTAGACTTTTTGCATCGGTTTTGTATTGATGCAAATATTAGCGATATAATTGCTCCACTGCAATTACATCGGTTGTAAAATAAGGTGGCATTAAAATTACATCAGTTTGTTTAATTTTAGTTTTAGATTTTGAAATTATCTATTTAAATATATCTAATTTGGTAACATTATCAGTTTTCAAATTTTCTATAAATATCGGTTAAAAATTTAGTTACATTCTAAATTTTATGGTTTAAGTTTTTCCGTTTTCAAACTAAATCTTAATTTTTGGTTTTTAATACTTGATTTTTTTATTTTCAATCCTTAAATCTTACATTTAAATTTATGAGTTTTCAGTTTTAAATTTCAGATAATAAATCTTAAATTTTGGGTTATTAGTTAACAATTTCTTATTTTTAACTTTTAATTATTAATTTTCAGTTTTAAATTTTAAATATTCAATTTTTAATTCTAAGTTTTTAATTTAAGTATAAATTTTAAATTTTAAATTTTAAATTTTGAATTTTAAATTTTAAATTTTGAATTTTGAATTTTGAATTTTGAATTTTGAATTTTAAATTTTGAATTTTAAATTTTGAATTTTAAATTTTAAATTTTGGTATTGATTATGAGACGGAGGAAGTATATTTTTATTCATGCTCACCTAAGAAATGTTTATGTGACACTTCATCAAGTCCTATCAAATCTCTCATTACAATTTACAAATGGTCTAATGGAGACGGATATTTGTTTGGAGAGTAAATGAAAGGTGGATGAGACAACAATTTCGAGCTGTCCCCTCTAGCGAAATGGACCCTTGTCGAGCTTATCCTTGGAGCCCAATCAATACATTAAAAATCAACAATTGGGATTGTGATTTTATTTGTGTTCGTTTAATTGATTAAGTAATTAATTCTCTGTTCAGTATAAGTTATCATTTGGTTACATTAATGCAGTCGATCAAATTAAAATCATAATTTGACTGTCTTCATTTTTAAAAAAAATGTCTATAAGTATTTAACAAAGACTAATTTGCGGCCCCGGTGCTCGGCCTTACCAAGTAGAGGAATTTACTTAAATAGCACTAAAACATAATAACTTTCTCTAAATAGCACTACATGTCTTTTTCTTCCCAATGTAGCACTTTTAGTCATTATGCATTAGTCATTATTCAAGTAAATATTTGCCAACACAAGACATTATGGACATTATTAAGTGCTATTTATGGAATAAAACAATTTAAGTGTTATTTAGGGAAATGACTTAAGTTTTAGCGCTATTTAGTGCAAATATTTCTTCCAAATATTTAACAAAGAATTATTTGCAAAAAAAAATGAAGAATTTTTTTTGATGATCCAAAATAAAATGTATTAATTAAGACATTGAGTATCGTATTTAAGACATTGGAAAACGTTAGATTATCAATATCATCTTTTCTTTTAATTAACATTTTGTCCCAGAATTTTTAAAACATGAATTAGTGAAATTTATATTAAGAAAAAAAATTGTGATTGATTTTATTATTAAAAATAAGAAATGCTCTGCCCTTCGTCTGAAATGGATTTACACATTATGCGTCACGCGGCTTGACCAATTTTATTTTTGATTTAATTTATTTAATTGTTAGTTTACAATTTAAAATAAAATTTATATAGTAAAAAACACAAGAGGAAAAAAGACTATTATTTTATGAAATAAATAGTAAAAATAAATAAAGTAAATTAGGTTTAATCATGTGAACAATGCTTAGAAAATCCATGTGGAACGGAAAAAGTAGTTAGGGGTGTAAGCAGATATTAATAGGATTAGATGTGCCATTACCAAATCTGTATCCGTTTTTTTTGTCGGATATCGAATTCGAATACGGATCTTGACGGATATTGAAAATCAAAACCATATTCGCATCCGTCAGATACCGGTCGGATATATCCGTATTCGTTTCCAATTTTTAAAACCAAATTAAATAATACTTTAATTTTCAATTGAACTAAATAAAAATATTACTAAATCAACTAAAAAAATTATGGAATAATTATTTTTTTTATTCTTTTATAGTTTCTGATATTCTACCGTGACCTATATCATAAAAAGATATACACAATACATATATATACACATATTTTTATATATCTACACATATTTTTATGTGTCTACACATATATTTTGTATATAAAAATATCTTATACTTTGAGATATCAATAGAGAAATAAAATATAAAAATAAAAAATTAGAAACAACTATATATAACGGATTAGATACACGGATAAACGGTTATTTAAACAGATGTCAATGCGGAGCGGATTATAAACGGATCGAATGTATGATTACCAAATCCGTATATGTTTAGCAATCAGATATCCTTAATCAGATACGGATAATAACTGCTTTTAACGGATGCAGATATTTTTCATATAAACGGATACAAAGGCGGACGGTAATCGAATTTTCGGTTATCCATTTACCGCCCTAGGAGTAGTAAAATTAAATGTGAGTCACGCAAATAATACTCCTAAGGAGGTATTACAATCTAGGGTATTGTTTTGAGTAAAAAATTGTAGGAGACATAAAGTAAATAAATACGGAGTATGACAAAATCGAAACAATTGAAGCACTACTTCTTGAACCGGAGCACATTGTTTTAATAAAAAAAATATGAAACTTAAAAAAATACTCCATACAAAATGATATTTCTTTACTAAAAAGTATTGTGAAATATCAATGTATAGTGTCACATTTTTTACAACGCAAAATCCTATTTTGAAGATAAAAACACAAAATTCTTATTTACATCCTTTAGGTTTTACTCAATGGTTTCTTTACTTCCTTTCAACACTTCCTAATTTATTCTAACTTTTTATAACTTCTTCAAACTTTTTTTTTGAGTTTCTTTTGATTTCTTCCACTATTTCTAACATGTAACTCTATTTTTCCATTCCAAAAGAATAGAGCCTAAATCAAGGTGGGAGAGCGCCCCCCACACATAAGAGTCAAGAGTATTACAGAAGCCTAAAGAGTATTTTTTAAATAAAAAAAACAAAGTGATGGAGCTAAACCCCCATTTGGTTGGTTTATTGATACCTATATTAACAGTGCAGGGAAAGGACATATGGTTCCAAAGACAAAAGCAAAGCACCTCAAAAAGAAGAATTTTTCCAGCCACACTCTTCCTCCACCTCCATAAAAACATTCACTTTCTTCTCTCCCTGCCAAATCAAACCCACCTTTTTTCTCCCCTGCCCTCACAAAATAAAAAACAGTATTGTTATCATTACTATTATGGGCTGCTGTTGCACAAAAGCTGGAGCACCATGTCTATCATCAGAATCTGATTCTTTTGGAAAGTATGTTGTAATACCCATTGTAGAAGTAGGAGGAGGAGGAGAAGAAGAAGAAGAAGACGCGTACCCCCAGCGTATAACGGCGGAGGTGGGGCCGGTTCTAGGAGAGCCATACGTGGACATCACCGCACTGTACGATCTGAAGCGGGAACTGGGGAGAGGGCAGTTTGGGATCACATATCTCTGCACAGAGAAGGCCACGGGTTTGGACTATGCATGCAAGTCCATCTCAACGAGGAAGCTGGCGATGAACGAGAGGGAGGTTGAGGACATGAGGATGGAGATCAAAATCCTGCAGCATTTGAGCGGGCAGCCGAACATTGTGACCTTCAAGGGGGCGTACGAGGACTCGAGCCACCTGCATTTGGTGATGGAGCTCTGCTCCGGCGGGGAGCTCTTTGACCGGATCACCGCCAAGGGAAGTTACTCCGAGAAAGAAGCTGCCAGGATTGCAAGACAGGTGGTGAGCGTGGTTCAGGGTTGCCACTTCATGGGAGTCATTCATAGAGACCTTAAGCCTGAGAACTTCTTGCTCGTCTCCGCAGATGAGGACTCCCCCTTGAAGGCCACGGATTTCGGACTCTCCGTTTTCATTGAGGAAGGTAAGGAAGTTTGTTGTAAGACTCTAATCTTCCAGACAGACAATCATTCTGAAGCTCGAAGTGCAACGGCAACTCCTAAAAGACCATGGGTTGTTGGAGCCAGACTTCAAGACTAACAATATAATTAGACTAACCTCAGACCGATGAGAATAGACTTCCAGACAGACAATCATTCTAAAGACTGATTCATGAACCACTAGAACTAAAATAAGGAAATGTACATTCTTCAGGACGAGTGTTGAAGGACATTGTCGGGAGTGCGTTCTACATTGCTCCCGAGGTATTGAGACGGAGGTATGGCAAGGAGATAGACGTGTGGAGTGCTGGAGTTATATTGTACATCCTTTTGAGTGGCTTTCCTCCCTTCTATGCTGGTATATATATATATATATATATATATATATATATATATATATATATATATATATATATATATATATATATATATATATATATATATATATATGCACCTCCATTCATCTATTGCATATACATTCATTTCCCCTAATGTTTAATGAAGATTATAAGCTAAATCAATCTGCTTGACGGTCGTCATCCAGAAAATGAGAATGGCATCTTTAGAGAAATTTTGAAGGGCCGTGTGGATCTTGAAAGCGATCCCTGGCCATCGATATCTTCGGGTGCAAAGGATCTTATCAGGAGAATGTTGACCGTCGATCCCGAACGACGAATTACTGCAGCTGCCGCCCTTGGTAAGTAGGAGTTCAAATAAAACTAGGAATAGTATATGTGTTTATCTGCTAATCTGCATGCATGCATGAATGAAATGAATATGTGAAAAGAGCATCCATGGCTCAAAGAAGATGGGGATGCACCAGACAAGCCTATTCACAATGCTGTTCTGATCAGAATGAAGCAATTCAGGGCAATGAACAAGATGAAGCAACTTGCTCTAAAGGTACCCAATATAAGCCAAAATCATACCAGTTGTAGCAGATTGTAGTTTTTACTGGTACCCAACACATGATATATGAAACTGCGGCAATGGCTTGAAGGTCATTGCAGAAACGATGCCAGAAGATGAAATCAAGGGGCTGAAAGAGATGTTCAAGAACATGGACGCGGACGGAAACGGAAGCATCACTCCTAGTGAACTTCGAACCGGGTTAGCTAAGCTGGGCTCCAACCTCTCTGTGGACGAAATAAAACAGCTTATGGATGCAGTAAGAAACACAAGTACTGTACTCTTTAACACAGACACACACATTCACAAATCAATACATAGTTGAAGGGATAACTTATAGCAACCACTTGCTTTACATATGCTCAGGCTGATATTGACAAGAATGGGACCATAGACTACATGGAATTCATTACGGTTGCAATGCACCGGCATAGGCTTGAAAACGAGAGGAACTTGTTTATGGCTTTTAAACATTTCGACAAGGATGGCAACGGGTACACTGTTTTGGTCTTCTCATTTTTTTGTCGTAAACCCTCATTAATTATACAGTGCTACGTACCTCATCTTTTCATGACTGCACATTTTGTTTTCCCCAACAACAGATACATTACCAGAGACGAGCTCATGCATGCTATGAAAGACTATGGCATGGGGGATGAAGCTACAATTCGTGAGATCCTTAATGACGTGGATACAGACAACGTAAGAAAAATTAATGCAGAATGCATGTCCTCTAATTTCATACTTATGTTTGATGGTTTTACTCACTGAAAGTTCACACTGTGTAGGATGGGAAGATCAACTATGACGAGTTCAAACAGATGATGAGGAAGGGTACTGTGGAGAACGAAGGCAAACAGTGACCGGAGTAACAATCATGTTGTTTACATGTGTATCATCTACTGTTTTATATGTATAAGCGGCTTATTACTACATTTTTTAAAATTACTTGTTCTATAATTGTACAATGGGTTTTGATGAAATGAAATTACCGAGTAATAACTGACCCGGATTTGGTTTCACAATCTACAAGTGTTGAGGTCAGTTAGAGTGCCATCAATTTGCCAATTCTTACTGCACAGATGTAGTTTGAAATCTTCCTAAAGAATATCATTTGTGCTCAGGACTTGGATACTTAATAATAATTACAAAAATGACAAGTTTGAATCAATACAATCATTTACTCCGTAATATACAAATAAATTTAGGAACACTACATATCAAAAGAAATTGAAAAGGAGAACGCCTAGACAACAAAGAAAATGGTATGATGCCAATGCTCGATTTGCATACATGTGGAAGAAGAACAAGACTGATGCACATGGGAAATAAAAAAACATGGATGCTAAAGAGGAGTCAAGGAAAAAACCTCAAACCCTGAAGAAGTGTGATTGGTTGCGTGTTCGTGAAGTGATCCATAGACTTGTGATTCCACGTTCTGTTGAATGAAGCAGCTGAAACCAAATAAATCTTGAGCCCCTGGGAGATGTCTGGGTGTTTTAGCATTGTCGCTTCAATCAGAGTCGTAGAAGTCACTAGGGCATGGCGTCATGACTTCAGATTCAAGTATCTGAAGTACCCTGTGCATGGTGGGCCGCTCCTCTGGGTTTGAAGAGACACATTGTATTGCAATTGAGAGCAGTGCATCAAGGCTCTCTGTCTGCATGCCTTCACAGAGCGGATCAACTATGTCCTGGGGTCTGTTCTCGGTGACCAAAAAATTTAACTGCAAAATGCAAAAGTGACCGCTTACACGGATAAATGATTGTGTACCATTCTAGAGAGTATTTGAAAGGATATGCGGTCGTTATTTTCAGTCGTGTGTGTGAAGCATTATCTGGAATTATTTCTAACAAGTGTCAGTCAATCATGGTGGCTTATATAGACTATAGTGACTATAAAAAGGAAAATAATTTTAAAGAATGACGAACAAAATAAAACAGAATAAAAAATGAAGCTGAAGCATACCCAGCCAACAATGTTTAGGCCCTTCTCAATGAATGATGCATCAGTTGGACGACTTCCACTTAATATTTCAAGTACCAGAACCCCAAAACTATACACATCTGTCTTTTCAGTCGCTCTACCACTTTGCATATACTCTGCAAGATAAAGAGAGGTAATAGAGAAAGATAAAACTTCTATCACTTCCTTACTGATGTGAGGAATCAGATTATATATGCAGTGCATTCCACATCCATACATTCAAAAGACAATAAAGGAACACATGGATAGTAGATAGAAAGGGAACTACTTTCAAGTGTTTTCTATATTTTCACATTGATGTCCAATTAAAATGTCAAATGTGCGTACTTTTAGATACAAATAGAGTTTTTAAATGCAACCAGATATTTTAAAACTGTTTATTTTATCTTACCACCTGGAGGTAGAATCCAATTCTTACTATCCCCATGGGAATTTACTTTTCATCTAATAAAATTGATTGATTCCATCCCATGTATACCATAACATTGCTCCATCACAGTGTATGCAAAATGGTGAAAATGATTTTTCACCTTCAAGGACCCCCCCCCCCTCCAAAACACTCCACTCAAACAGGCCCTAGAAGAATTGCAATGACTAATAGAAGTATTAATTGGACCACCACATTGGCACCTTGCATACCAAAAATTGCAATGAACACATACTGAAAGTATTAAAGTAATGTTTCATTCATAGTCCAACCTGGAGCTAAATACCCAAACGTGCCTGCTACAATTGTTGTTTTGTGAGACTCCTCATCTCCAAGTAATTTGGCCAATCCAAAGTCGGATACACAGGCAGCAAGGTTACCATCAAGTAAGATGTTGCTAGACTTTATGTCACGGTGTATAATCCGAGGAGAACAATCATGATGCAAATATGCCAGCCCTTTTGCTGCTCCCATGATTATTGCTACTCGTGCATCCCAGTCCAATTGCTCAGATCTCTCTGCATAGGAAACAAAGCCATTACTTTTTACAGAGTCCCACCCAAGAAAGAGAAAAGCAAAATAATAATAATAATAATAATAATAATAATAATAATAACAAAAAAGAAGGCACTTCACGGTGGTTACAACTAACCAGCAAGAAGGAATAACCTACTATGTGGGTATTTCTCTGTGCTTATAAGCTTGTTAAAACTGCTTATAAGCACTTTTTAACTTATATGTTAGCATATGACATGTTTTTGTGTGCTTATAAGCTGACTTATAAGCTGACTTATAAGTTGTTTATAAGCAAGAAAAAATAAGTAGGTCTTAGCTACTTATTTTTAAGCCAGTTTTTTTTTGTTTCTTCGTTTTGACCAGACTATCTATTAAACTATTCCTCATCATTTATGAATATTTACAAATGATTTATCTATCATTTAAGTCATTTTAACTCCACAAAAGAATATTTGACTTATAAGCAACTTATAAGTTAAAAACTGCTTATCAGCAATAAGCCAATAAGCACCAACACGGAGAAACACCCACTATGTTGCATCATAGTTTAAAATCTCAATCACAGTCCATCATTAGAGTTTACAAAAATCACAGAACTGCGGAGATTAATGTAGCAGGAAGCTGAGGATTCCTGAGTGGAACCGTCGCCAAAGGATGACAGTCATGAAACAAATATTTTCCATAGATACACACGCGCACGCGCACACGTGTGGGATCCTTGTGTGATCCACTCATCTGTTTACTGCCAGATTTTACTATTCAAAATAAAAGGAAGAAAGACCCCACTTTGTAAGGTTTTACTGGGGTTGTTGTAGGTGTTGGTGTAAAATAATAGGAAGAAAGACTCTAACCATGCAAAGCTTCATCTAAGCTGCCTCCAGGTAAGAAATCATATATTAACAACTTCGATGTTGGAGAATTGCAATATCCTCGCAGATTTACCAGATGTCTGTGTTTAATGCTACCAAGAATTTCAAGTTCCCTTTCAAAAAATCTATCAAAGCCCTCATTCATTTTGATAATTCTTTTCAAGGCAAAGATGTTTCCATCATCCATTGCAAGCTTGTATACTGTTCCAAAGCCACCAGAACCAATTATGTGTTCTTCATTCAGTGTCTCCAACTTTTTGATAATATCACTTGATGAGTATGGCAAATCTCCATGAAACATCACAATTGAAGCACCTGAATGCATGAAAAAAGTTGAAGGGCTTGATGGAGAAACAGAAATAAACTGCAGCAAAGCCCAAAGAAAATGCTATAGAATTTAATGTTTAAAAAAGGAAAAGGATATACACCTGCTCCCACATCCACAGAGAGACCTCTGCGGTCATTTTTACCCAGCCTCTTGTAGAGGAAGGAGCCCCAGAAACACATGAGTGCAACCAAAAGCAAAGCACCAGCTGTGGCTAAAGCACATATAAGCAGATACGCAGGACCTTTTTTCTTATTTTGATTTGGGTCTGAAAAGCATAGATAATGCATTGTGTGACCATGGTAAGTTATTAGTGAAGTTACAAACAAAATGAAAGAAATATTGAGAGAGAGAGAGAGAGAAAACATGCAGCAAAAAAGCTGCTAAACTAAAAGTCCATGGGGAGAGGAGTAACCAAACGAGCGAAGAGTGAGTCTCTACGCTTCGAGGAACGAGGAACGAAGTCCCTAGAGAATTCGAGTAAGCAATATAACAAAATACTATTTACCATAATAAATAAAGGCCAGGTGTGTGTATTCAGAAACTACTACTTTTTTAGTTTACTTAAATTGGATGGGTTTAAAATCTGAGAGAGAACATTGTAATATTTGACATAGTATTAGATACTATCAAGCTATGTTTGAAACTTTGAAGGGAACATTTTGATTTTTGAGGCTGCAGGATTTCCCATCTAGAGAAACATGCAATTCTTGTGGATAAAACTTACGGAGTACAATGGAAGTGGGAGTTGGATAGACATCTTGTAAGAATTCTGATTTTTTTTATAAAAAAAAAAGTACAAAACAATAACAACAATGCCCAGACCCTACTATTGAGTGGATATATTGGGTTTCTTTGGTTTGGTTGGGTTTGATAATAATAACAGTGAACACAATATACAATCATATACGGAGTAGAAACCAACAATTAATCAAATATACATGCAGTCAAATGATTATCATGATAAAGCAGTTAGCAGACAAAAAGATGCACAGTTTGCTAGCCAATCAAATTTGTAAAATTTAAAGATACAAAATATTTTCCTTGCTTGCAATAGCAATTAGTGATCAAAATATAAAAAATAAATTTCACGACACTGTTCTTGGTGTTGTTTGTTGTCAAATTTTACCAGAAGCCACAAGATAACACACCGCACAGAAATTTCAACAACACTCTCTGCTGATGGCTAACTTAATTGTCCTCGTCCTTTACAGATGGGGTAGGGAACCCATTACCCATGTCCTAAGAGAATAAAAAATAAAATAAAATGGCAACTTACCAGAAATAGGAGGCTGGGAAAATGGAGAAGGACCACCGGAACTGTTTTTGCAGAGTGCATTAATTTGTTGACCACACAATTTACGATTTCCAAGAAAGCTGAAAATAAACTTCAATACATCAGCATTTAAAGATTTAAACTTTCATTTTTGTGTGTCTCAAATAGAACTTTACAGTAGTTTACACTCCTCCCATTTGCTGTTTAGCAAAGGAATATGTGACTCACAGGATTTCTATTTCTTCTAAGCCAATTTCAACCGCATGCTTTACACTCTTCATCACATTTCTTAAGCTCTGCTTATTCAAGCAGTCAACTTGTTTGGGGGACAGAGGGAGTTGAACTTATGTGACCTAACTCCTATTTGACAAATATCAAAATTTATTATGTGTTGTAAGTTGCAACTTGCAAATATAACCTGCTATCAGTAATCCATATGAAGCTATGAAAGCATTCATGTTATGGCCGAATAGCTACCATACATTTTCTACCTAGCCCAATTCTCTAGATTTTTCTTTACTTTGATGTGACCCAAATACCATCTTCTATAAGATGCCAATATCAAAATTCAAACTTGCTCTCAATTTTCTATGCAAAGGCGATCACTTTGTGGCCAAAATAGCTATCATACATTTTCCAACCAAGATCAAATTTGTAGTAGTTTCTTAATTTGATAAGTTTAAAATTGCATTGAGGTCTACACAGCATTATATATGCATGCAGTCCATGCATTGTATCTGAGCCTAAGTTAAATTTTGAATGATACTATATAATGTCCATGTTTTATATGCCAAAATCATGTCCAGCTCTGTTTGGCATGCTAGGGAGGCAAAAAATGTTACGAGAGTTCAACACAAATAAATAGTAAAATGGCACTGCATAAGCAAGATGCATTTAAGGATTTAACTTTTCGGAGGGGTTCCCATGACATTGGAACCCCATATCATGGGATGACCCGGGGCCGTTACGGTGCTCCGTTCGTAAAATTGATTGTTCCTACCCCGCCCCGACTCAAACACACACCCCCCCACCCCCTTCAATTGCACCCCCAAGTTAATTGACTTTGGAGTCAAAATTGACTTGGGGTGCAATTGAAGAGGGTGGGGGTGTGTTCGGGTCGGGGCGGGGTGGGGGGTTTACCGGGAGAGTTAGGGGGATAGGAATCGTCAATTTTACGAACAGGGCGCCGTAGCGGCCACGGGTCATCCCATGACATGGGGTTCCAATGTCATGGGAACCCTCCCCTTAACTTTTTTACTAGTGCTTCAAACCAAGAGATGCTCTACAGTTTACTATTAATAAAACTAGATAAAAGGTCCAAGTCTAGGCCTTGAGAGAGAGAAGTATCCATCCACAATATTCAAAAGAGAGTTGTTATAGTAAAATTTATAACTTACGAGTCACTAGGAAAGTTGGCAAGGCGACCATCAGAAGGTATTTGTCCAATTAGGAAATTATATGATACATTGCTGTCCACATTGTATGAAGAAAAATAAAATTATTTTCAAAATGAAAAAAAACAAAAAATAAAATGAAATGTTGTGCTCTAGTGATCAGTGGAATAATTTCACTCACAATGATATGAGCTTGTTTAACTTCCCAAGTGATTGTGGAATATTTCCACTCAGCGAGTTACTAGAGAAATCCCTACACAATGGAGTTATCAGGAATTATAATTACTTACAGAAGAGACCCCCAAACTTCATTGGTTGCATAATTGAACAAGTTGGGCTAAACCATCAAAATTTCTCATGATTTTATGTGAATCGGTGAATGTTATGTCCCACAGTGTGTCTCACTCAGCTGGTTAGTCTTGTTTCCATGAAACAGGTTGACATCATCAATGTGTTATGCATCGATATATTCACATTCATAGAGAATGGGAAATCCTTAATTTGGACAGAAAAATGAAATGCACCATATATAGTAACTGATAGGAGGAACAATACAGTTATACATCTTTGGGAAAGGAGTGAAGGGAAATACTGGTAATAAACTTGGAAATGATTATGAGTGTCAAATACAACAAATATCTATCTTGGAAAAAATATCTCAGGCCCTAGAGAACATTAGCAATGAAGCACTTGATACGGATCTTTATTTGAACAAAAAATCAAAAAGAAAAAAAGAAAAAGGGAAATGAATCACATGTTCATAACTTGATACCAGGAAGCGTTCTTCATATTGGAAGGAAAAAGTTCACAAAAATGTAAGAAATTTGGATTCTAAATCCAGCATAGATAAACATAAACTGATGAAAGTACCACGAAACTGACACAGGTAAAAAGCTTACATATTTTCAAGTTCAAGAAGGTTTCCTAGCTGATCAGGAATCCCCCCACTCAGATAATTACCCTGCAAATACCTGTCATACAGAAAATTTAAGAATGTAGTGTCTTAAACTGAACAAACACATTAAGTAGAAGAATCCTTTGTACACAACTACGATGCACTAAGTAGTGATCTTTCATCTTTGATTACTGGAATTAAGAAAAAGTGGAAAGTTTTCAAAAATCCTTTTTTATGAAAATGAAAGGGATTGACTAAACTGTGATATTAAAAAGAAAAGAGATCAACTGCTATACTGATGTTATTGGTACCAGATCTCGATAAACAAAAAAACAGAAATCTAGAACAAGAACTTATTGGAAAACCTTCTCCAATTAATTGAAAAACTTTGAATACATAAAACAAAGAAAAACTATCCCTATTTATAGATGATTTAACCTTGTCTACCAAGTTAAAACATCAGCCTTGTTCTCCAAGCAAAACATCTCCTACTCCTACAAGCTATGATAATCTCAAATCCATCTGAGATATATCTCCTAAACTTATGACCGACTCTACCCTTATTATTGACAAATAAAGACTTCAACACAATTACAAAATAAACCCCCTAAGTCCCTAACTATTACTGAATGTCAAGACTGGTCCAACATATACATCATTGAACTACAAAGGATACTTACAGGGATTTCAACATTGTACAGTTTCCCAACTGAGGAGGTATTTCCCCATAAATGTTGTTGTCATGCAGTGATCTGCTATTTTATAACTTTGTTAGTAGATAATAACTCTAAGCATTTTATAATATACACAGTTATTGGGATTCATACATGAATTGCAACTGTTCTAGTTTCCCAATATCTGGTGATATAGGCCCACTCAGCTTGTGATTCGAGAGGCTCCTAGATCAGTAAAATAACAATCAAAAGTATCAGTTGCGAATTAGAAATTGTGTACAATTAAAATTAAGTTAAAATGCTTGCAGGTTTATAAGATTGCAGGTTTGTAGTATAAAATTAACAGTAACCATTTTCCTATATAAAAAAAATGCACGATGCAAAGAAGTGGCAACCTTCAAAGTCAGACAACAGAGAGCATTACCTAATGAGCTAGAATTTCACAAGAATCAAATATACAACAAAAACCCAATAAAATCCAACAAAGTGGGGCCTGGGGGTATGTTTATGCAGATCTTACCCCTACTTGGATATTAGGATAGTAGAGAGGTTATTTCCAAAAGCTCAAAATACGGGATCAAAATGAAAAATGAAAGTAGCACAAACGAAATAAGAGCACCAAAGAAAGCACACATAGAGAAATAAAGAAACTGTGTTAAACCACGCATGCTGAAGCTACAAAAGCATACCCAAAGGTCTAGCCAGCCACCCTTATCCTAGACCTCCATAAATTCATATCTAAGATCATATCCTCAATAAAACTTGAACAGTAAGTCCTCTCTAGTCACCTCCTTCCAATTGTTCCTAGGTCTAGTGGTCTACCTCTATCCCTCCCCGTGCCCTAAACTGCAAGCCTCTCACACCTCCTCACTGGGTATCTGTACTTCTCATTATGTGCTCAAACCATCTCAGTCTAGCTTTCTGTAGGTTATCCTCCACAAAGAGCACTCTCACCCTTCCCTGAATAACCTCATTCTGAATTTTATCCATCCTCGTATGGCCACAAATCCTCCTATATGGATGTAAGCAACTAATAACCCAACTCTAGGCACCTTTATAAGCCTCCCTATGAACATTATTGTACGCCAATTTTGGGTGCATAGGTACTTACTACTTACAATGTTGATAACACACCCACCCAGCACCAGCTTAATCACTAACAACCGATCACTAACCCTTTGACCCTCGACCAGAAACTACCAAAAATCTTGATCAACCAAAATTCCAACCCCACTATTGTTCCTCAAAGCACCGGAGTACCACAACTCGTACCCATCCACATCACAAGGCTCATAAATGTAAGCATTGATTGAGTAAATGAAACAATTAGATCATTATGGAGCAAAAATTTTGCTCTCTTACAAATTATCACCCAAAAAATCATGCGAGAAAAGAATCTTCTCTTTCAAAATTCATAAAAGCAAAGAAACCAGTACAATGTGTTAACAAAGATAGTTGATGATTACATATAGTTGACATTGCCATGTCCACAAAATGATTGATATTGTAAAATCAACAAGCAAATCCTAGAACATGACCTTTACACGGTCAGAAAACTTGAAGCAAATTAATAAGAAACACATACATAACTACTACATGTTAGTTTCATAAACAAATTTGCCAATGAAAGGGCATTAGGGCAAAGTTCCATGGAAAGTACATTATCAAAAAATGGTTTAAAGTATTTTTAGAACACAATAGAACTCACAAGGATGTAACTCGCTTCGATTTTGGGTCACATATTACTCCTTTCCACCCACATGGATCAAGATCTTCGGGTCTCCATTGGAGAATAACATCATCTGAACTCAATATTGTACTTCTGAAATTAACAAGTGCTTGGCCTGCCAACACATTTGGTGTTCAATATAAACTCACCAATAAACAATAAAATTGTGTTGATAATTAGTAGTAATCCAAACTAAAGCTGAAAAGAGACAATGGAGAATTTCCATTAAATATGACCAGTATATTCATATCAATGCATTTTAGTACTAAGAAATTCAAAACAAACCGAACACAGGAGATGAGGAGAAAATAATCTATGTACAAAATCCTAATAATCGCTATTAAACTACTCAAGATTTATGTTGTGTTCTGCACATTTAAAATCTGTTTTTCTTGGACAAGGGACTAGACTTAAATTTCCATCGAACTATTTTACAATTTACTCCAATAGACTAATAGTCTCATCCTCCCAAATCCAAATGTTATACTCCCTCATTTCATTTTATAAGTCCCACTTTCCTTTTTGGTTTGTCAATAATTATGTTTAGTATCTTTTTTGGCTCTCCGCTAATTTTTTACATTGATAAACCAACCCTTTTATGATTTGACATGATGGACTAATTGCACAACTTCTCATAAAGTTCACCCACCTTTTAGATAGTAAAATTTTAAAGTGGATCACAAATACTTTGTGCCCTTGATATATCCGAACGCAGAAATTGGGACAGGGGAAGTAGTTCAATTGGGATAAAACTTTACAGTGCATGAAACTGATAGGATAGAATGTGTGTCCACATGTGGGCGCGTCTAAAACAGAACAAACACCTTACCATCAGGACTAAGAGCATGCAGTTCTACCAAAATGTAGAGTAGAAGTAGAAGGGTGTATAACAATGGCTGGCCAAAGTTTAGACAATAGTTGCCCATTTTGGCACAGGTAAAGCATAGGTTTATTCCAAATCATTTGATGCAACAAGCTGAGCGATTGTTCCTGTGGACATACAGCTTTAAAACAAGATGGTCAAGCCGTGAAGCCACTTCACAACGATACGAGATCTGCATGAAAGGAAAAAAGTAAATGAAAATAATAGTAATGAGTAGCATTGTCTTGAAAATGATACTGTAAATACAGAGAATAATAACTATAACATGATGAGAATTGAGATAACTTTCTCAATGATTATGCTAACTAGAGGTGCTACCATTGAGTGTACCGCAACAAAGGTTGTAACTTGTAGGTGACTACACCATGGCAAGTTGGCAAATGTTACTACTCATCGAAACATTGAACGAATTGCAAAAACACATGGACTATCATTTTTCACAAAATTGCAAAACCTATTTCGGTTTCATAGAAATTCAATGGATTCCCAATATGCAATTATGCAGGCAGAAACTGTTTTGTGTGCCAACTCTCAGCAGATTAAATATTTCTTAAAACTAGTATTGGGATGAAGAATCGACTCAAATTTAATACTACATGGCATCATTCGAATAATGTGTGCCCAAGAAATATGGGATGAAAGCATCCCAGACACAAAGGCAGTACGAGTAATGATTTTTTCAAGAACAATACTTCTACTGGTGCTAAAATTTTAACTTAGTGAAAATCATACATTCACTAAAAGCAAGGACTTATCACTTGTAATGTAACTTGGCTAAACTTAGATCAATGTCCCCCTTTTGCAAGTTACAAAAACAGCTTCACAAAGGACCCTGTTTTCATTACCGATCATTTAAAACATGCATCAGCCTAAACTGAATTAGAAGAGCTATCACAGTCATCAAGCCATCATCACGACAAAATCAATCTCCCCAAAGGATTAACATAAAGCGCAGACGACAAATCACCAGTGAAATTCAGACAAATGATTCGAGAATCGAACAACAACAGAACACAGTACGCCAGTCAAAGCATCGCACCGTGCGTGGAACAGAATTGTTCAAACAGTAAATCTCATAACGCATACTGTAAAGCGATTGCTCTTGTCAACTAAATCTCAAAAAAACGGATAGATAAGCAAACGAAAACGCAGGAAGAGTTATACCTGGAACAGTTCGCCGTTAGATTCGATCTGCGAAACAGTGGAGAGAGCTCCCGATTCCAGTATCCAGCGCAAAGCAGCCACACATTCTCTCTCTCTCTCTGCGGAGACTTTAGGAGACGACGGCGAGAGTGGCGGAGACGAGGCTTCTTCTATGCAAGTCAGACTTTTTTTAGTCGGTATAGACTGAGGAGATATTGGGAGAGAAAGAGAGAGAGGTTGGACCCGGGGCGGGTTCTGAGAAATGATGCTCCATTGTTGAATTGAAAGCCACAGCCAGAGTAAATGATTGTGGGGGTGGAGTGGCTTGGCACGTTGCAATAGTGACTCGCTACACGTGCGACCGACGCTGCTTAGTTTTGTTTGGAACTTTGGATGTTTAGACGTTAACCTTTTCAAAAAATTATTTATGAACAACGTTAAGCGTTAGCATTTTCAAAATAATTTAAAATTTTATTTTAAACATTGACGCTAATATGTAAGGATATTCACAAATAGACATTTAGTTGAGACTACACAACAATTAAGAGTGTGGAGTTTCGAAGTTAGAATTGATTTAATGTCAACTCTATATATAATGTCAATTTATTTCGTTTCTATACCTAGTACTTTTACAAATGCATGAAAAGAATATATAGAATCCGATACACTTTGATTTTATGAGTGAGTTAGAGACTGTTTGGCAGTGTGTTGCTTTTAATTATTTAGCTTCTGCTCTGAGTAGAAGTGATTTTATTCTGTTTGGCATGTCAGCTTCTGTTTTTCACCACCACTATTTTGTACATAGAACACCGTTTCAGAGACGCAAGTAGGAGGTGCTTCTGCTTTCAGCTTTTGTGGAAATCACTTTATCCATACGTTAATCACTCCCAAACACCCTCTTAGAGTCTATTCTTTAAGCTTTAAACTCTTAACTTTTAGTTTCTTCCATTTCCTACTAGTGTTTTCCAGTTTCTTTTAGTTCTTTCCATTTTCTTCCAGTTCTTCCAGTTTCTTCCAACTATTTTTATATTCTACAAACTTTTTCTACATTCCGACCAATTATTCTAAAAACGATACATTATTATTATTATTATCATCATCATCATTACACATATTGTGTTCATAACTAGAGTTTATAAATTGTTTATTTTTCATCTTACTATTTTTATGATTCACATTGATTACATTATGTCACATGTCTGATATTTAAAACAAAATCTTGTAATATATAAAGTATAATTAAAAATATATTATTTAAATAAAGTGACATGCCGCAGCGTAGCCACAATAACTTTTAAATATTTAACATTTTTTATATTTAAGCTAATTTTATATTCTAATTAATTTATTTTGTAAAAGCAGTTTTTTGTATATGAAAAAAAAACATTTTTAATCTTAAAGGCATTCATTAAAATAACGTGATAACAACTACAACAACTACAACAACAACAACAACAATAATAACAAAAATATTAGTAATGCATAACAAAAGGAATTGGAATGAGAATAATGTAAAAAAACATACTCCCTCCGTTTCTCAAAACGGTTCCTGTTTTGACTTTGGGGAAAAAATAAGGAAATTGTAATTTTAGTTGACTTTCCAATTTTGCCACTGATGTGATGGGTAAAGTAAGATGTGATAGTTTAGTTATTAGTGAAAAAGTATGATGTGATAGGTATGGTATGAAAAAGTAGGGGTAAAAGTGGTTTTTTAATAGAAAAAGTAAGTGTTTTAAGAAAAACAAAAAAAATGAAAGAGAAAGGGTTTTAAGAAACGGAGGGAGTTTTTTTCTAGTTTTTCAATTTCATTAAATTTTTTCTAGTTTTCCAAGTTATTCCAGTTTCATCCACTTCTTCCAGTTTATTCAAATTCCTTCTAGTCCTTTCAGTTTCTTCTATTTCTTTCCAGTTTCTTCAAACATCCAGTTCTTTTTTTCCAATCATAAAGAACAGGCTCTTAGACCTTTCACTACATGCAATGTGTTTCAAAACAAAATTATCATGCCACACGAATACCATGGTGGAAACATACCTTAATTAGCTTGGTGCTTTAAGAGCATGAACAATGACAAGTCATATACTGGAATGCCACACGCTGACATGACACTGTTCAACCAATCAAATTTAATCTAGTCACAAAGTGGCATGGCATTGGAGTGATATGCCCTGCGGTGGCAAGTCACTATTTTTTACTCATTTTACATTTTTGATATATTTTAATCATTCGATTTTACTTTTTCTCAACTCAATATATTTTATTTTTGGTTTTTTTATAAATATTTATATTTTGTTGTGAAGATTTAAATTGTATATTTTAATTATTCATAATTATTTTAGTTATTTATTTGAATATGCAAAATTTAAAATAGAGTACAAATTATGTTGATATGAAGTTATATAAATAGAAGTTGGGATAGAAAAAGCGAAGAACATAATCATAAAAATGCGTCAACAAAAAAGTACGGAGTATATTACAACCGTTTAAAGAATCATGAAAACACAAATCCAAAGGCGAAACATTTTGACAATTTCGTTGTCTGCACGTAGTATCAACGCAAATCCAAGCGTAACAACGCCAACAACAACAAAACACAGTTAACTGAGAATTCCAAAATAAAAAGTCATGAAAAGAAGTCAGATCCTCAGATGAAGTGGCAATTCATCTGAGAAGAATAAGAGAAGGAATAATGGAACAAAACCCTTAACCAGTTTGCTTTCTTCTTTCACACACATAGCAAAAAGTGGATATGCTTCTTCTTGAACATGAGAATGATGAAACCATACTTGCTTGGACTCAACCAGCTACAGAAGCGGGTAACCCATGCGAGAAAAGCACAAGTAGAAAATTATAAACATTGTGAAATACAAATTGAAACCTCTCATCCAATTAAGCTGACTAAATCATTTTGTAACTGACCAAATGCCGAAAATGAAGAAAAAATTAAATGTATAGAGCAGAAAGATCGTGACCTGATGCCAATTATCCTTTTATGGGTTTGACAATGGAGATGTTGAGTGATGAGCATCTAGGATTGAGCTTTGCAAATTCAAAGCAAGAAAGAAATCAATACATCAAATCGGAGAACATCAATTGAGAATATATTGCAGAAACGTACCATGAGTTCGACGACCTACATCATCTAAAAAATGCTTAATCCCTTCGCTTGAAGGACCGTTGATACTACGTGCAGACAGCGAAATCGTCAAAATATTTCAACGGAAGTTGGGTTATTATGAATAACAAGAAAGAACAAGACAACCAAAAACACTTACATTTTGTTAACAGAATCTCAGGTAATTTAGTAATCTAAGCAAACAATAAAGAAACCACAAAGAACAACATATATGCCACATCTACATATATGCCATCTTAAAGCAAAGCATGTGTGGCAATAGCATAAATCCTTGTGGTGGCAAACTTAATTTCAAATGTGCAGGAGGAAAGCCAAAGCATATTACAGAATACCCTATAGACAACTCAGCAGAATAAACTATTGACAAATGAGCAGACTAACTTGTACCCTATTTTGGACCAATTATTAAAATATTAATGGATTTAAGCCTTATGCAATCTATTATCAAAGAGATAACCTATACCCTTATGCAATCTATTGTTACTATAATTCAAGTAATCCATGTAACATTCCAATCAGTTTTTTGAGAAAAAATGTTACAACTACGGGTCATCTTATTCACTGGTTCAGGATTCTCAATATTTTGTTGTCCAAAAACTCAATAACCTAAATTTGGACATTTTGTCAAACACCTAGTATGCACTACAATGAATTAAACTATTTGAATTTTTAAAAAATTAATAATAATCCATTCGAACCATAAGAGATTGGGCAGAGAGAATAGAAGGTGTTTCAGAGCAATCAAAGCTATGGATGACTAGAGTTACCTGAGACTCGAAGGTGAACGATGATGGCAAGAGAAGACTGGTGCGGAGAAGAGAAATAACCGATGAAGAAAAACGGCAGATGATTTTCACACAGAGAAGAGGATTCACCGATGATTTTTCAAGAAAGTATTTGTATTTTGCTGCTTCGATTTTGCCTCGCATCCGCCACGCAAAGCGAAGTGACTCGCGGAATGTCATGCGACCCATTTTTTTCCTGGCCCAATGCTCTTAGAGTTTCTTCTAGTATTTTCAATTTCATTTAATTTTAGTTTTTTCAGTTTTTCTAGTTCTTTCAAGTTCCTTCCAGTTTCTTTCGACATCCAGTTCTTTTTTTCGAATCTTAATGAACATACTCTTAGACCTTTCACTACATGCAATGTGTTTCAAAACAAAATATCATGCCACACGAATACCATGATGAAAACATACCATAATTAGCTTGGTTCTTTAAGAGTTCAAAAAACAATTTTTTTTGAAAAAGACTATTCAAAATATTAAAAAATCTGGCAACTAATAACGTGTGCCTCACCCCAACCTCGTATTAGTATACAACTTACTATTTTTGAGATTTACATTGATTACATTATGTCACATGTCTGATATTTAAAACAAAATCTTATAACATATATATATATATATATATATAGTATAATTAAAACTATATTATTTAATGATAAATATTGCATAAATAAAGTGACGTGGAGCGTAGCCAAAATAACTTTTAAATATTTAACATTTTTGATGCTCCATTTATGCTAATTTTATATTCCAATTAATTTATATCGTAGAAGCAATTTTTTTGTGTATGAAAAAAACAATATTTTTTATCTTAAAGGCATTAATTAAGATAATGTGACAACAACAACAACAACAACAACAATAATAATAATCATAATAATAATAATCATAATAATAACAACAATATTAGTAATGTATAACAACAAGAATTAAAATGAAAATAATGTAAAAAAACATAAAAATATTTTTTTAAAGTTGATTTAGATTTTCAATTTTTTCTAATTTTTTCAATTTCATTTAATTTTTTCCAGTTTCTTCCAGTTCCTTTCAAGTTCCTTCAAATTCCTTCAAGTCCTTTCAGTTTCCTCCAGTTTTTTTTAGTTTCTATCAGCATCTAGTTCTTTTTTTCAGTCCTAAATAACAGGCTCTTAGAAATTTCACTACATGCAATGTGTTTCAAAACAAAACTATCATGCCACACGAAAACATACCTTAATTAGTTTGGTGCTTTAAGAGTTTCTTACTCCCTCCGTCCCAAATTATTTGTCACATTTCTATTACCGAGGCAAAATATCAAGTTTTTTCAATTCATTTTATTTACATATTGGTAAAAAAATAAAAAATAAAAAGTATATATAAAAAAACTACATAAAAAGTTTTTCGAAATAAGAGGTGTCAAGAATATTTTATTTTATTAAATAACCAATGAAAACGTAGAAATAAACAAAAGTTCCCGCGACTGTTGAAAAAGCAAATGTGGCAAATAATTTGGGATGGAGGGAGTATATTTTTTCAATTTCATTTAAATTTTTTTCAGTTTCTTCTAATTCTTCCAGTTCCTTCCAATTTCTTTCAACATATAGTTCTTTTTTCCAGTCCTAAAGAACAGACCCTTACACCTTTCACTACATGCAATGTGTTTCAAAACAAAAATATCATGCCACACGAATACCATGGTGAAAACAAACCTTAATTAGCTTGGTGCTTTAAGAGTTTCAAAAACATTTTTTTTCAAAAAGTCTATTCATCAAAATATTAAAAAATTTGGCAACTAATATATATACAATCTTCCACTCTTACGTAAAAATAAGAGTGTATAACAACAAGAATTAAAATGAAAATAATGTAAAAAAACATAAAAATATTATTTTAAAGTTTATTTAGATTTTTAACTTTTTTCTAATTTTTTAAATTTCATTTAATTTTTTTCCAGTTTTTTTTCATTTCCTTTCAAGTTCCTTCAAGTCTTTTTAATTTCTTCTAGTTCTTTCTAGTTTTTATCAACATCTAGTTCTTTTCTTTCAGTCCTAAATAACATGCTCTTAGACCTTTCACTACATGCAATGTGTTTCAAAACAAAACTATCATGCCACATGAATACCATGGTGAAAACATACCTTAATTAGCTTGGTGCTTTAAGAGTTTCTTCTATTTTTTTTTTAATTTCATTTATTTTTTTTCAGATTCTTCCAATTTTTCCAGTTCTTTCCAATTTCTTTCAACATATAATTCTTTTTTTCTAGTCCTAAAGAACAGACTCTTGCACCTTTCACTACATGCAATGTGTTTCAAAACAAAAATATCATGCCACACGAATACCATGGTGGAAACAGACCTTAATTAGCTTGGTGCTTTAAGAGTTTAAAAAACAATTTTTTTCAAAAAGACTATTCAAAATATTAAAAAATTTGGCAACTAATATACATATAATCTTCCACTCTTACTTAAAGAAGAGTGTTGAGACTGCGCACATCTCACCACAACCTCGTATTAATTAGTATGATATAGTGTCATTGTCTGCTCTGGGTCAAGCCTCACGGATTTGTTTTTGGGCACTTTCCAAAAGACCTCATACTAATGGGATTGGATGAACTTATATAGGTTGGTTCATTTATTCATAAACTTTCGGTGTGGGACTTGGAGGATTCCCAACAAAGCATATTACTTGTTCTTTTTTTAACAAGGTGTAATTGCAAATTAAGTTTTATATATACTAAAAATTGAGTTATAACGAAGTAATTTAATTAAGAACCCAAGATTAAGAGATTGTTATCTTCGTTTGATATGATTTAATATGATCTGCTTTTATTAAAATATGACCTGATCTAGTCTAATTATAATTGTATCTAAAATTATTTCTAGTATGATCTGATTCAAATAATAATAATAAATAATATTCCCTCCGTCCCACTATATTTGTCCACTTTCATTTTTGCACACCATCCAATGCACTTTTTTAATCCATTTTATCTTGTAATTTGTATATTAAAAAATTGTAGAAATTATATATTAATAATCTATATGTTAAGACAAATCAAACAAGATCACACATGACTATATTTAGGCTTACACATTGAGAGAATTTGATGAGTCAAAGTACTTAAATGAACAGTTTCAAAAGTCAAAACTGGACGAATATAGCGGGACGGAGGTAGTAAAATAAGTTGAGAAGAACAAGGTATAAGTATGTTAAACTCACTCTAACAGATTATGAATTTAAAATGTTTAAAAATAAAAAAAGAAAAATGTAAAATTAGTTGATTTATTTAAAATTTTATATGGATGGACCTGATGGTCAGATTTGAACTTTTCAATTCTCGTTTTTTGAGATTTAAATTAAAATCAAATGAAATTAAGATCTATTTTTCAAAGTCTAGTTCAGAATAATGTCATTTTGGTATTTTTTTATCACTTCTACTATTGAGAAACACAAGTACATACATTAGACTCTAGATTGCACTATTATTTTAATTTCATTATTTTAGAACTTCAAATTTTTTCAAAGTTTTTCCTTTTCTTTTAAGCCTTTCATATTTTTTTTCAAGTTTTTCAATATCTTCTAAGTTCTAATAGAACCCTTCAAGTGTTTTGCAAATCTTTTCAGTATCTTACTTTCTCCTAGAACTTTTTAAAATTTTCATCTTTAGTCGCATAAATTAAAGCATTTCAAATTAGTCTAAATTAAATAAACATAATCACTCTTTTTTTAAAATCCAATCAAAGCTATTCACACTACCTTCTACACCCTACTCATATTGATATTTTTGAAACTCTACTTTTTTCAATTGTCGTCGTTTCCCCATGATCAAACTTATACAACTTCTCATTCCAAAAGTCAATGCCGTAATGTTTTACAGGTCGGAGAAAGTATAATAAAAACATATCTAAATGAGACTAAAACCTTATATCAAAATATTCCGTCCGTTCCTGAAAACTCTTTTTGTTTTGACTTTTTTTATTAAACAGTGACACTCTTTGACTATAAATTGCGAGAAAAGTATATTGAATTATAATATCAATGTATATAATTGGGTTATCTTATGATATAGTTTTGATATATCAAATTTTATAACACTTAGCTTATTTATTTAGATTATGTTTAATTTATGGAAAAAAGTGTCACTCTTTAACCAAAAAAGTCAAAAGAGATATTTTAGGCAGGGAGGGAGTATAACCTTCTATATTTTTGTTCATTAAATAAGAGCTTTCGCAATATTGTTTTTGCCGATAATGCATCACTACTTTTTTACATGAAACAAAACTACAAAGTTGTGAACGGCTACATTTTTAAAACACACAAATTTTTTATAAGAGCGTACCATTATATTTTTTAAAATATAATTTAAAATTCAAAAAAAAATTAGAATTTCTCTCAAACAAACCCACCTCTTATTTTATGGCACGAATAATTTTTTTTCTTCAAAATAACCATACCGTTAAACCACCATTACCTCCCTAACGGCAATCCTAAATGTTGGCTCAAGCAAAAATGTGTGACTACAATGCATAATTTGAAAAGATTGATTATATTTGAAAGATCGTATAAAGATAAGATTATTTCAAGATGATTTTCTCTTAATTTAAAGATGAAAATAAAGAAAATGAGACTTTAATATTCAAATAAAAGAAGTAACAAAGAGTAGTAATTGATTTGTTATGCAACTTATTCTTTCATTATATATTATTCACAGAGCACAAACACATCATGAACTCATGAGAGTCCAAATAAAAACACTATTGCCAGTAAATGAATGGAATGTATAACAATGAATGCTAATAATGTTTATAGAAAGAACTAGGGGTATATAGGGCAAAGCTTATTAATTAAAATTTGGAGCAATCAGCTGGCTTGAATGACAGAGTCTCCTCTTCCAAATCATACCCCACAAGGTAGTCAATCTCGGACAAGTTTCCAAAAATGGATATTCCAATATTTGTGTCCGGAATTATGGTCAAACATGTCACCCCTTCCTCCACCTCCAAAAACGTCCCCTTTGGCGACAGCTTCACGTCGGCGCCGCCCGCGAAATGCGCGACGATGTCCAGCACCCGGACAGCGTCTCTCGTCGCGTAGCAGAGCCCGAACACCCCGGCGGGGTCGTCTACCGGGGTGGCGTCAATGCTCCCCTTCAGCTCCGTCACCAGGCTCTCGAACATATCCGAGGGAATCATCGTCAGCGTCGTTCCCGAGTCGATGATGATGTTTCCCTCGGACGGGGGCAAAGTCGTCTTTTTCGCCCCCGGCAACGCCTTCTTCCCCCCTACGCTTACGCCCTCTAAATACAACCAATAGAACTCGGGTTGGTTTTTCGACTCGAACATCTGGGTTTTGACCGCGCCGGGGCCTCCCACCGCGGCTTTTGCCCCGAAACTTATGTGGCTTTTGGAGTCTTGATCCCCGCCTAGACAATATGCAAATTTTCCCTCGATCTCTTTGTGGAGCTGGTTGATGATCGATATATCTGAGCGGCCTAGACCCACGATCCCTGAGGTTTCTGTAGACAGACAAAAAGTTATAGAGTGATGTCAAATAAAAGTCTTGTCAAAAAATAGTGAAATTACTAAAGTTTTAGTACTATTTAGTGCAAATATTTCAAAAATGTTTGGTATAAATGCGGCACCATTGGAGAAGGTCCCGTTGTTGTGATGGCCGCAACCGAAAACGATGTTCTTGAAGGAGGCGCCGCCAAAGGTGAGGGTGTCGATGGCCAAGTCTCCGACGGTTTTGGACTTGTCTCCGTAGGAAACGGTATACTGGCAAGTGTTGTCGTCGGAGCAGGTGGGGAACGGATACGGACTGGAAAAGAGGGCGCACTCGTCGGAGTCGCATGTGGCCACCCGATAGGACTTGCTGTTCTTAGGGTTGAACACGGGCGACTCCTGCGGGAAGCAGTCGTTGCAGGGCCGGCACTGGGTCCACGTGATGACGCTCCCCGTGTCGGCGATCCCGTACGTCTCGAAAGGCGGCGTGCCCACGGAGTACTTCATAGCGTAGGACCCACCCGCCTGCTTCAGGTCGGTGGCGAACTTGGCAGAGCGGGCGGCCCCGCGCCCGCTCTTGAATGAGGCGGCGCGGGTGAGGGTGTGGTTGTACGCCTCCCGAATCCACCCGAACCTCGACTCGGAGAGGTACCGGAAAGGGTTTTCGGGAGAGTGCGGGTGGATGAGCTCGAGAGTGAAGCCATTGACGGCGGACTGAGAAGAAAGGGAAGCAAAGACAAACAGCGCCGTCAAGAAAGGAGTCATTGTCGTCAAATTTGATTGATTGGTCATTAGAAAGTGTGGGTTTTATATATATGTGCACATTCTTGAAAGAATTTGGAAGGCTGTAATGATATGAATATACTCTCATTGTGTATATATGGAATGGGATATTAGTATTAATGCATTTCTGGGAATTGAGGATTGTGTTCATACTACATATTCATCATTTGGACGGAATGGTAAATGGAATTCCTAAAGTAAATTAACGGAGTGCTGTGAACTTGGATAATGACAGTGAGAATTTAACGGAAATTAATTCAATGTTTTCCATAAAAACGTGAGGATTTAATGCGTGCGGCTTTGTTTGTTTCTATAAGTATTCGGATTCTACTCCATATTTCAGTACCATCTACGGATGGATATCTTTTATCTTCTTTTTAAGGTTTTGACTTTTTAGCACTCAATCAAAGTTGACCTTTGTTTTTTAATTAATTAATAAAATTATATGAAGTACTTTTTTTGTTCTCCAAAACCTTTTTTGTTTTAAATTTTTTGTCAAACATTGAAACTCTTTAACTACGAGCCTCTTCTTTAGAGCTTGAACTCTTAACTTCCAGTTCCTTCCAGTTCTTTCAGTTTCTTCTAATTTTCTTCCAACTATATTTATTTTCTTCAAATTCTTTCTACTTTCTTACAAATCACTCTAAAAAATATATTATTATTATTACTATTATTACAACTTTTTTTAATTACAACTTTTATTTTCATAACTATAGTTTATAAATTATTTCAATTTTTCATCTCACTATTTTTATGATTCACATTCATTCTTCAAGTTTCTTAAAATTTTTAAAATGAATAATACCGTTTTTTGTATATTAATCTACATGAAAAATTAGGAAACTATTTAAAAAATTATGGATAAATAGTTATATAGAATATTTTTTAATCTAAATTTATATAAAGTAAATTACATTTAAGGGCCTGGAAGAATAATATTATGAAAACCAAGAGAAAACTACATTTTGAAAAGAAAAAATGACCCAAGAAGTGTAATATTTATACTAATTTTATATTCTAATTAATTTTTTAAACTAGTTTTTTATATAGGAAAAATAATACTCATAATATTTTTTATCTTAAAGACAACCATTAAGATAACGTGATAACATCACCACCAACAACAAGAATAATAATAATAATAATAATAATAATAATAATAATAATAATAATAATTTATAACAACAAGAATCAGAATGAGAAAAATATAAAACCACACATAATTTTTTTTAAAGTTTTTAAAGATTTTTTAATTTTTTTCTAGTTTTTTCAGTTTCTTTTAATTTTTTTCAGTTTCTTCCAGTTTCTTTTAGTTTCTTCCAGTTCTTCTAGTTTCTTCCAGTTTCTTCCAATATCCAGCTTTTTTTTACAGTCCTAAAAAACTGCTCTACGTACAATAGTGTGAAAAGAATATATATTTAATTATGATATAAATTTAATATAATTGGCTTCATTTAAATATATGGTTTTGATATATTAAATTTTAATATCATTTTTATTTAGATTATATTTAATTTTAGTCAAAGAGTGTCATTGTTTGACCCAAAAAGTCAAAACAAGAAATAGTTTTAGGACCAGAGTGAATTTGCACTGAATAGGACTAGAACATAAGTCATTTCCCAATGCAGGACTAAAACTTTTTTATTCCCTAAATATGATTTCATAATGTCTAGTGAGAAGAATAATGACCAAGTGATGCTCGACATTTAGTTAAATAATGACTAATAGATAATGACCAATGGTCTTACCTTGGAAAATAAAAACATATGGTCTTATATTGAGAAAGTCATTATGTTTTAATCCTATTTAGAAAAATTACTTTATAAAATACATCAATACAATACAACAACGTTTTGTGTTAGTATTTAGTATAAAATTTATTTAATTAATGATCAAAATTTATTATTTTTAATTGCAAAAGTCAAAATTGAACAAATTATATAGAATAGAGGTCGTATTTAGTTAAAAAAAATCATATTATATAGAAGTAAAACATAGAATAACATATCAAAATAGAAACTTCATGTTATTATCTATCTCCATAATTAGAGTTTGTATTATGATAATATGACACTATGCATATACATTTAAGAGTACGTTTTGATATTACATGTTCAAATGATGGGCATTGTATTTGCATTGTAACTTGTATTTAAGGTAATAAAGACATGAAATTTCTATTTTGGTATATTTGAATGTTACGTTATACTCTTAGTTTAGTCTTTTCCACATAAGTTAATTTTAATCCTTTTTGCATGTGTACGTTCATATATACCCCGTATATTATGTTGTACTCTCTCCGTCCCTCAGAGTTCTTCTTTATTGACTTTTTGAGAATTTCTGAGAATAATATTTTTGTGTTGATCTTCCAAAAATACCCTTGATGTAATAGGTAAAAAAAGAAAAGAGAAAGAGTTTAAGGGCGGAGGGAGTAAACTATTGGGAGAATTCCCTAGATATGAGTAAAAACTACTCCATCCCTTCTAAAAAAAGTTCCAATTTTGACCAAGTCTAAAAATAAAGAAATACTTATTAAATTGTAATTGACTTCTATTTTTGTCGTTTGATGTGATGGGTAAAAGTAAGAAGAAATGCATAGATTATTAGAAAAAAGTATAATGTGATAGGTAGGGTATGAAAAAATAAGGATAACAATAGTTTTTAATAGAAAGTGGAAGAGTTTTGTTCGGAGTATAAAAATAAAAGAGAAAGTGTTTTTTTTTAGAACGGAGAGAGTATGAATATATCGAGATAAGAGTCACAAGTCTTTTAAGACCAAAATAGGAGTCCACAGTGCTATTATTACACTTTCATACTTACCACACTGTCACATTGTAAGTGTCATATTATAACCGTCACATTGTCATTTGTCATCGCCAGCTATCACAGTGTCGTCGCAGATCACTTACTGTTGACTGATCACACTGACACATTACACTGTCATCACTATTAATTTTATTGCACTGCCAACACGTACTCTTACACCACACTGTCATTATACTCATATTTTGGTCTTAAAAGACTTAATAGTCATCGTATGTTGGTATTTTCATTTTTTTACTCCCATCCAAGGAGATTTTTTAAAAATATTTATTAATATTCTTATAAAATTAAATTTTCATTTAAAACTTATTTCTTTTCAAAATGTACTAATTCTAAGGTATGTGTTATACTCCTCCAATCTCATAAAACGATTTATATTTTGACTTTTAAGAGAACTAAGAAATGTATAGTTGTAGTTGACATTGAATTTTTGTCCTTGATGTGATAGGTAAAAGAATGCACCTTGTGGAGAGAAATGAAAATAAAATCTAGCCGTTGGATCTGATGCATCGTGCGGCTCAGATTGCATCTTGCGCTCAGATTTTGAGATAGTGCATTTTCGAAAGATTCTGGTGCATTTCGGCGTGATGCATTTTAAACCATTTTGGTGCATCTGATTTTGCTGCAATCATGACCCTTAGATCTCACAATCTAAAGCACCAGATTCATTCTCATTTCTCTCCTAAAATCGCATTCTTACCAGAACCAATATATATATATATATATATATATATATATATATATATATATATAGTCATGCGAGTACTAGTTTTGTAAATCTTTTGATCTATTTTTAAATATGTAGTTTTTATTTTTTAATTCTACACTATATTTCATATACAATCATTTAAAAATAATTTCAACAAAACATCATAAGCTGAAATACAAAAAATAATTTGGTACCGGTAAAGTAATTTACTAAAATGAGAAGGTTCATGATGAATCTTATAAATGTGAAATTTGCACTAAATAAGACTAAAACATAATGACTTTCCTAATGTAGGATTTAAATTTTTTATTCCCTAAATAGGACTTAATAATGACCTCGTGGGAGGAATAATGTCCAGTAATGCTAGACATTACTTGAATAATGACTACTTGTTAATGACCAAAAGTCCTACATTGGAAAATAAAAACATATAGTCCTATATTGGGAAAATCATTATGTTTTAATCCTATTTAGGTAAATTTCTCATCTTAAATTAAGCACCACTAGAATCCTTCCCACCAAACACATTCCACCGTTTTTGTTGGGTAGGGTAGAATTTTACATGTTTTTGGTGGCCATGTTGAAAAAGAAGGGACAATTATAGGGTATATATAAGCCTGAGAAACGTGATGAGTACAAAGAAATAAGCGTGAAGAACGCATGCATTCATCACAGAGAGCTTGCATTAATGTGTGCCTAACTTTAATTTTCCTCCAGTTTCTTTACCTTATTTTCATCAATGAACACAAATTGCTACTTTGGGCAAATATCATTTTTGTGGATATTCTCATATAAAAGATGTTTATTTTTTATTATAAAAAATGCTTATTTATATAGTAAAAAATGTTTATTTTACTCATATGTAGGTCCACGATGGACCTTAGGTCTATCATAAAATTTGCCCCAAAATAATGTTCTCGTTGCGCATTACGATGTTTGGTTTAAGTTATTTTATATGAAAAATTGTATGAAGTTAAAAAATAAAAATAACATATTTAAAAACTGCATGAAAAGATTTACAAAACTAAATGTGACATGAGTATATTATTTTATCAAATGAGCAACGAAAATACGCCAAAAAATGAATAAAATTTGACTTTGTGAATAGCGAACGGGAACATTATTGTTGAACAAAGGGAGTATATCTTTAACAAAGTCAACAAAATACTCCATCCGTTTCTTAAAACTCTTCCTCTTTCATTTATTTTGTTTTTCTTAAAACACTTCTCCTTTCTATTAAAAAATCACTTTTACCTCTACTTTTTCATACTCTACCTATATATCACATCATACTTTTTCACTAACAATTAAACTATCATATCTTACTTTTACTTATCACATCAAGGGCAAAATTGGAAAGTCAATTATAATTTAACACTTTCTTATTTTCCCCCAAAGTCAAAAGAGGAACTCTTTTGATAAAGGAAGGTAGTAACAAATAATTCTATTAATATCTGTTTGAAATTAATGTATGTGAGCTTAGCTATGACAAATATTTTTCCATGTATATATAGTGTTTAGTCCATATTTTTCGTACAAAGACAATGGCCTTGAACAATGCCAAGGCGAAGAAGCCCCTATTGTCTTCCGCCCTCTCCACCACCCTTTTCTTCATAGTCCTTTTCACCATCCCCACCCTTTTCCTCCTCCACTCTCCAACCATCTCCATTTGCACCACCCCCACCTCATCTTCCCATGAACCCAAGCCTTGGTCCGGCGATCTTCGCGACACCGAGTTCTCATGGAACCACTTCAAATTCTCGGACAAAACTCCCCCGACGAAGGCTCTGAGGGTTGCAGTTTTCTCGAGGAAGTGGCCTATCACCACTGCGCCCGGTGGCATGGAGCGACACGCGCACACGTTGCACACGGCCCTAGCGCGCCGTGGCCACTGTGTGCACGTCTTCACTTCTCCTCCTATGTCGAAACAAGTCACCACTACATGGCGTGGGGAGCATGCCTCCGCTCCGGTCATCCATTGGCACCAGGGCGAGCCAGGGAGGTGGCGCTACAACCAAGCGTGGGAGGAATTCCAAGAAGAGAACAAAAAAGAAGCATTTGACGTGGTACACACCGAAAGCGTGGCACTACCGCACCACCTAGCACGCAACGTCTCGAACCTAGTTGTGTCGTGGCACGGTATAGCCTTGGAGAGTGCCCATTCCCTTATATACCAAGACTTAACTCGAAACCCTAACACACCAATGTCACCCTCGTTTAACAAGTCCCTACAAGAGATAATCCCCAAAGTCCTCAATGAAATAAGGTTCTTCAAGAGCTACGCTCAACACGTCGCCATCAGCGACAACTGCGGGGTCCTGCTGAGAGATGTCTACCAAATCCCCAAGAAAAGAGTACACGTAATCGTCAACGGAGTAAACGAGGACGATTTTCGTGAAGATCCAACGCTAGGACGTGAGTTCAGGTCCAAGATCGGGGTCCCAAGTGATTGCCATTCGTGTTTGGTTTTTGGAGTAGCCGGAAGGCTAGTGAAAGACAAGGGGCATCCCTTGCTTCACAAGGCATTCTCCCTGCTAATCCAAAACCACCGTCACGTATACCTTGTGGTTGTAGGCTCAGGGCCATGGCAAGAAAGGTATATAGGGTCATCATCACGAGTGATAGTTCTTGGCTCTATGGGTGCGCCGGAGATGAAGGCGTTTTACAACGGGATAGATGTCTTGGTTAACCCAACGTTGAGGCCGCAAGGGCTTGACCTCACATTAATGGAGGCTATGATGAGTGGGAAGCCAGTGTTGGCATCCAGGTTTCCCAGCATCAAAGGCACCATTGTTGTTAAAGATGAGTTTGGGTTGCTGTTTTCTCCGAACGTGGAGTCATTGGCGGCGGCGTTGGAAGAGGTGGTGGCGGAGGGCCGGCGGGGGCTGGCGAGGAGAGGGAAGGCATGCAAGGAGTATGCGGGTTCTATGTTCACTGCCACCAAAATGGCTTTGGCTTATGAGAAATTGTTCCTTTGTGTTAACAACGAGACGTTCTGCGCATATCCTTAATTAGAAGAATAGTAATTTACTAAAACATGATGATTTTCTCAATATAGGATCATATGTTTTTATATTTTCCAGACTTTTAGTCATTATGAATTAGTCATTATTCAAGTAAATCTCCATCAATACTAGACATTATTCCTCCCACCAAGACATTAATAAGTCCTATTTAGGGAATGAAAAAATTTAAGTCTTAGATTAGGAAAGTCATTATGTTTTAGTCCTATTTAGTACAAATTTTACAGGACAATAGTTTAGGTTATCCTTGGGAAAATATATACGGAGTATAATGTTTGTGCCATAGATGGCTTATCCGCTCTTTTTTTTATTATAGGTTTTCTGCTCTTAATTTAGAATTAAACTATGAGCAATTTGAGTAGATATGACTAAAATATAAGTCATTTTTTAATATAGATGATTTAATTTTTTTTATTTCCTAGATATGACTTAATAATGACTAGTGAGAAAAATAATGGTCCTACGTTGGAAAAAAAACATATGATCCTATATTGAGAAAATTATTACTCCGTATATTTTAGTCCTATTTAGGTAAATTACCCTTAAACTATTTCTACACCAAAAATTGTATCCTATTTTGTACTTCAAAGGCCTGTAGCGACATTTTGTGTTAGATATCGGCCATTTTTTTGGGGTACAACTTGTGGTATACATTTGGTGTACCCCTAGCATGGTTGCTTAATTTAATATAGAGTGAAATTTCTTGTAAATAATACCGAGTATTCCGTACCCCTGAGACCTCAGTCCATATCTGTTCTTAAGCTTGTCTAAAAATGTAATTTAACATCAACAATATGTACAATTATGTATTTGGATGTTTGTTAGACGGACAATATGACAATAATGAGTTAATGACTAATCTATGTACTATGATTCTAACGAAAATCCATATCTGTGATTCACAAACGATTCACCAGGAGCAACCTCTTGCATTGTGTATAACAACATAACAAGAAAGATATATGATCTTTGTGAAATTATATTTTTAGGCATCAAATTATCACCAACATGTCAGAAGAGAAAAAAAGACTATTTATAGAAGTAGAATGATACCCATAAAAAGACTATTTATGGAATGAAAAGCACGTATTATAAAGGACTAATTATATAATTTACTTTTTTTATACAAAATTTAATTACAAAGTTTACGGCATTCCTCTAAGAAAACTAAGGATCCTTACCCTTAACCTCCATGCCCTCTCTTTTACCCTTAACCCTTGAGCCTGGGCGAGCCTCCATCTAGTGTATTGAGGTACGTGCTTACCTTTTGATCTCATAAAATTAAATTGCTGGTTTTCGTGGTTAAGATTTTTAGACCTTTCAATTGTCTAGTACTCATTCCGTCCCAAAAAGATTTATACGTTTCAAAAAAATTGTGTCCCACAATCCCTTACCCATTTCTATTAAAAAACCAATTTTACCCCTTACTTTTTCAAACCCTACCTATCACATCATACCTTTTTCCTAATAATCTACACATCACATCCTACTTTTACCCATCACATCAAGGGTATTTTTAGAAAGTCAACACAAAATTATTTCTCCCTTAATTTCAACTTTAGTCAAAATAGGTAACACTTTATGGGAGGGAGTATTTGGGATTTGGATTTACAGAGATGCGGTGTTGCTATTTATTTACTTTTTTATTTTTGAATAAATAATAATATTGATGTTGTTCTGAAAAAAAATCGGTGTAGTTATGAACAGTTATGCGTGTACAATCGGTTGTTGTAGTTGTTGATTCTCGTTCAAAATGGCATCCTACATGCGCCCTAAGAGCAACTCTAAGGGTAGTTTATATTGTAAAATATATAGTGCCTACAATTTAATGTTGCCCTTTCAACACTCCAATGGATAGGGTAAACCAGTTGGTAAAATGCAATGTAGTGTAAAAAGCAATCTCCAAAATGTATTTTTACAAGTTCACTATAGATAGTGGAAAGAATAAAAAATTAATTTTCTTCATTTTTTTTCCTTCCCTCTTCTCTATTTTCATATGTACAAAGTATATTTATTACGTCTTTTTTAAAAAAATATTGAAAATAAGTAACTTAAAACAAAAAAATATTACTCCCTCCGTCCCGTAAAACACGGGACTTATTGACTAAAACTAAAATTTAAGGGAGTGTATTTGTCCCTTTGACCTTCCCAAAATACCCCCAAACCTTGAAATAAAAAGGAGTAAAGAGAAAAAAGTGAATAGTATTGCATTAAATGAAAAGGTGGAAAAGTACACAGCCAAGTACAACCAAGTACACAGCCATAGCAGGGATTAGTTCGGCTAGAGCATGGGATTTATAATTCCCCTTCCTATTTCTGGTACAATTACATGCCAAAATCCAAATTTGGAGGGATTTTTTTGTGCCAAATTAAATTTTGGTAAATTTTAAACTTCCCTCCAATTACAATATGAAATTCCTAAAGAAAATCTATAAATAGAAACTTTTTTCTGATCTGCATTTAATACACACTTAAAGGATGTCCTTTTTCAGCTTCTTCATGTTCTCCTTCTCACCATGTCCATAAATATCTCTTTTATTCTTCTTTCTGCTGCACGTATCAATGGTCTCCCCGCCATCATCACCGTCTTTGTCAACCGCATCTTTGTTGTCTTCCTTTTCTTCAAATTCATGCAGTACGAACCTGCCACCTTTAGTCCAGGTTCCCCTCCTCAGTCTTGACACCCCTGCAGCAGAAGAAGAAACGAGTAGTTTGGGAAAAAAAGGTTGTGAAAAACATAATCGTAAACGAGTCATTGACAAGCTACTTCAATTTAGTAAAAATGGCAAACTTCAGCGGGGCTGCATGAAAGAGGTTGCTGCAGAATTCAACATCTCAACCAAAACTGTTGGAAAGATATGGAGTATAGCTAAGACTCAAATGCAGGCAGGTCTACCTGTGGATGTTCAGTGCAAGTGGATAGGGAATTCTGGAAAGAAAAGGGGTACTGTTAACACGCAAAAAATGTTAGCAGTACCCTTTCACAGAAGGAAGAACATGCGCGCCTTAGCCTTTGCAATGGATGTTTCAAAATCAACAGTCCAAAGGTGGCTAAAGAGCAAGGACATAAGAAGACATTCTAATGCCATCAAGCCTTTTCTGTGTGAAAAAGGTAAGCTCAAAAGACTGAAATACTGCTTGGATCATATTACTGCCCCATCCATTCCCATAAACCCCACATTTCATCATTTCTATGACTACATTCATATTGATGAAAAATGGTTTAACATCACAAAGGAAAAGACAACATTTTATGCACTACCAGAAGAACCAGACCCATACAGAACTGCTCAATCAAAGGCTCATATACCAAAAATCATGTTCCTAGCAGCTGTTGGTAGGCCTAGGTTTGGGAATGATGGGGCTGTCCTCTGGGATGGGAAAATAGGTATATTCCCATTCACATTTGAAGCTGAGACCAAAAGGTCTAGCAAAAACAGGCCAGCAGGTACATTAGAGGTCAAGGCAACCACCACTATAAACAGAGATGAAATGAAAAAGATGCTACTGGAAAAATTACTGCCAGCAATAAAAGAAAAATGGCCTGGTCCAAGAAGAGATGTAATAATACAGCAAGATAATGCTAAACCACATGTGGATATGAATGACCTAGAGTTTGTACAAGCTGCACAGGAGGGTGACTGGAACATTAAGCTTCAATTCCAGCCTCCTAATAGCCCAGACCTTAATATTTTGGATTTGGGATATTTTAGGTCAATTGATACAATTCTAGACCAGGCAGCATCTAGGAAACTAGAAGACCTCATCACTGTTGTTACCACATCCTTTACAGCCCTCACCCCTGAGAAGTTAAACAATGTTTTTTTGACATGTCAAAGTGTAATGGGGGAGGTGCTTAAACAGAAAGGGGGCAACAACTTCAAAATCCCACACATGGGGAAAAGTAGTTTGGCTAGACTTGGAAGGCTACCAGATAATGTTGGGGTAAGCCAAGAGGTCTATCAGGAAGCAAAAACATTCCTTGAAGAACACATGTAGACTACCAAGTCTTGGAAGTCTTACTTTTTGTATGTACAAACATCATGGGTAAAAGTACAATACTTTAATGTACTCCCATGTAATGACTTTTTTGCACATATTTTGTATGGCATGTAATCAGTGTAGTATGAAAATCTAGCATACAGATTGGTCATAGAACATGATGTGTATGTACTACCAACTGTTGTTGACTAACTTTTGTCATGTAATCACTTTGTTCTGTTTTTACTAAGAAAAAGTGTAGCATCTGTTTGCTTATGCTAAGAAGAAGTATATCATCTGTTTTCTTATGCTAAGAAGAAGTATAGCATCTGTTTTCTTATGCAGCAGAAGAAGTATAACATCTGTTTTAGAATCTGTTTTTTTTTTCAGATTTTTTCTGGAAAATTTTTATAGAGGCATCAGAAATAAACATATGAACACAGGTAGACCAATCTTAGGCAAAATTGATTTTTGTAAGTCTCCAACACAGTACGTGGGTGACATTACAACACTAGCAACTCACATATGAACACATCTTATTCGTGTAAAGCAGAGATTTGCATCATTAGTTTGCCAAAATATACTCACACGCAGATCTAAATTAAAGAGAGTATAGAGTGTGTACTCTGTTTGAATCGATGAAATTTTTCAGGGTCTCCTGTAGGTTCTGCAAAGAGGAATTCCTCTTCAGACATTTCCATTATCTCTGCAGAGGTCACCGATTCCCCATCTTCCTCTTCATCCTCTTCTTCTCCGTAACTCCGTTCAGGGTTAGAATAGTAACCACCGCGTAGATATTTTTTTCGGAAGCTCCAAGTTGGGTCTGTTTCAGAGGAATCTGTATCTCCTCCATCAAATCCCCAATGATTTAACTCTGCCCTCTTCATCTCAGCCTTCGATGGAGGAGGGGATCCATATCTAGGAAGTGCATCATCATCACTATCACTCAAAAGTTGAAAACTGGGCATCGAAGGATCGCGGGATAACATCGGATCAGGGCTGAGAAGAAGATCTGAAGTTCAGGACCTTTAGATCTATTCTTCGAGAGAGAAATTAGATTTAGATCTACAGAAGAGGAAGAGACGAACTTAGATCTGGAGAGGAGGAAAAGGAAAACTCAGATCTAGAGAGACGAAGAAGGTGCGTGTGGGAATCGGTGATGTGATTCGTGTGGAGTGTCAGCTGTGAATGGGTAGGGTTTAATTTGGGTGGGGGGCAAATAAGTCTTTTTCAAGAAAAAAGGAAGAGTTTTATAGGACGGATAAAAAAAGAAAGAGGAAGTGTTTTACGGGACGGAGGGAGTATAAAAAGTATATTATATAGAAGATATGGTTGAAGTAAGTATAAAAAATGAAAATGTAAAACATTATTGATAGTGTAAAATAAAATTTACACTACCAATTTTTACACTACACCTTGGAGAAGCTCTAAGGCTGTGTTTGGTTGGGGCGAAGAGGAAGGAATGGGGTGGATAGGAGGGAATTAGGGAATGAGTTTGAGGGGTTTAATATTACTCTCTTTGAGTATTTTGGAGGGAAAAGAAAGGAAAAGAATGTTTTGTGTTTGGTTCAAAAGAGGAAGGGACAGGAGGAGAAGTAATGACTTTTTTTTGTACTCTCTTTCTCACACACGTATATATTGGTTTTGGTGAAAATGCGATCTTATGAAAGAAATAAGAATGAATCTGGTGCTTTAGATTGTGAGATCTAAGGGTCAGGATTGCATCAAAATTAGGTGCACTAAAATGATTTGAAAATGCATCATGTCGAAATGTACCAAGATCCTTTGAAAATGCACTATCTCAAAATCTAAGTGAAGGATGAAATCTGAGCCGCACGTTGCATTAAATCCAAAGGCTAGATTTTATTCTTATTTCTTTCATCAAGGTGTATTCTCACCTGAACCGACCCCTATATATATATATATATATATATATATATATATATATATATATATATATATATATATATATATATATATATATATAAAGTTGTTTGTGATTTGGTTCTTAATTGCTTATTTGTAACCAAATTTATTGATTGTTTTGGAAGAAAATAGATTTTGAAATAAACTAAAAAAAGAACACAGTTTCAGAATCAACAAAAACAGGTTGAGATTCCTGAAAAAAAGACAAAAGAAAAAAGAAGAAGAGAACAGTTTCAAAAAAAAAAGATCATAAAGTTCATAGTAGTTAAAAAACTTCAGATTTTAGAAGTGCTTTGCTCAGCTCTTCCCTAGAGAATTGGTGCACTTCCCTTAACAAGGCAAATTTGAGTGAGAACAAGTAATATGAAATTAAATCAAACATATGTTCTGGTACAATAAGAACAACGGATATGATACGATACCGAAAAAACAATATGGAAATTACCGCTTTTTAAATCAAACAAACTTCTTGGAGAATAAAATCACACTTCAACAATCAAACTTATCCTCAATAGCAGCCTCATTCACTCCCGGAATATTTGTCCACTTTTGACTTTTTTGGTCAAAATTAGTAAACTTTGATCCCAAATTAAATAAAAATGATAGTAGATATTGGTACAAAATTAGTTTTATTAGATTTATTATCTAAAATATTTTCAAAATATTATTTTATATAATAAATACGGAGTATACAATATAAATTTTATTTAATTATGATAGAATTTGGGATGGGTATGGATAACTGGATTGAGTAATAAGACACTTGGGTTGAACCATATTAAAAGATTGAATCCAATCGATTAGTTAGTTCAACTCAAGAGCTTATATACCGATTAATTTCCTCACACTTTTTCCGATGTGGGATGGTCTTTAACTAGTTCAAAAGTGAAAAACAGTTGACTAAAAAAAGTCAAAACTGGACAAATATTCTAGGACAAAGGTATTATATGTTTTGACGCTAAAAGAACACCCTTAGGCCCTATTTATTGTCATCAAGTATAAATTTAACATGCATTATTTACTAATTTGAATTTTTGTCTTTTTTAGGTTATATAGCATTGTTTGAGAAATGGATAAAAGTTGGATTAGAATGAATAGAACATCCGCACAATATATAGCGGGAATTCAAGCATTTCTAGATTTTGCATTTGCCAATGCTGGGAATAGTAAATTGATTGTTTGTCCCTGCAAACGTTGTGGACTCGGGCACAGTCGCTGGTTTAATAGAGATGAGGTGACACATCATCTCATGTTCTATGGATTTTTGCCTAACTACACTGATTGGGTGCATGTGCATCATGGGGAAGAGGAAATATTCGGTAAGTTTTTTTCCTACTAATATCAACTGCCCTTTAAAACATTGCTCAGCTTTTTTTTTCTCGAAGTATATGAAAAATGTTCATCTTTTGATTGAGCTGAATATGGTTTTGCTTCAAGTAGGTTGTGTAGGCCTTTTGAACTTATTGTCTCACTTCTACTAAAAGTGCAATTATTATTGTCTGAAAAAGCGTAAACGCCGTGAATGCTTTAACCAGCAAAGCAAGTGCTTAGGTAGGCGCTTAGCCAAGAATACACTTTGCTTCTAAATTTATTTTGGCATTATTGGGGAATTATATACTCTTCCACAAAGAGTGTACAATTGACAATTTTTGTAAGCTATAATTTCCGCCCTAAATGAACAATTGTGCTTGTAATTGATATAAGTATATGTTTGTTGGTTTATCTAAACTTCTCATTTTTTTTGGCATTTACATGAAAAACTAGCCCCGGTCAATAAAATTAGACTCATGTGTAGGGTCAGAAGTGCAAAACAGGTTTTAGATCTTATTATGCATGTTGTTCAATTTTTTTTGCTGTTTGTTATATAGGACCTATTTCAGTATTTGCATCTATCTCTTAGAGCACTGGAAATACTCGTAAAGCCCCGGGGCTTCAAACTCTCTCTCTCTGTCACGTCAGCTTTAACTTACACCAAAAATTCACTGGAAATGGGTTTGAAGCCTCGGGGCTTCAAACAGGGGCTTCAAACTTTCATTTTTTACATTTTTAAATATACATCTTCTAAATTTAAATTATTAAATTTTAATTAATTTATTATTTAAATTAATCAAAAGGAGATTAGTACATTAAAAAATTACATTCATTAAAAAAATATTACATTCATAGAAGAATACATTCATAAAGAAGTTTCATTCATTAAAAAAATATCACATCCATAAAAAAATAACACTACAAAGAAATTACTAATTATTCAAGCAACTAAAAATATCCTCATTCAAATTCGAGTTGTAGTAAAATATTGCAAACTGAAATAATTCATCAAATAAAAAATACAGTCAATAAAAAAAGTATGTTAAATTTAATAAAAAACAAAACAAAATTACATTACTAAAAAAATTTGAACAAAAAAATATTACATTAAACAAAAAAATATAGAGTAAAAAAAATTATGTTTGTGTATATTTTTTTTAAAGGGAGAGTGGGGAGGGGGGGAAAGGGTTTGAAGCCCGTTAAACGTTTGAAGTAGAAGAGATGAAGCCCGGATGAAGCCCCAGGAGGGCGGTGTTTAACGCCCCCTGGGCTTCAAAAGTAGCATAACGCCGAGTGGCGTTACATGTATTACCAGTGCTCTTAGTACAAAATGAAGAGTCACATTTTTGGCTGCATGACATCTTTTTTTTCCAGGTCAAACTATCTCGCAGTGAAGTAGAAGAGAGAACTTGTTGTTGCTTACTTAGAGGGATTGGTTTAAATTAAAGTGAAATTATTGTCTCCAACTTTTGCTTAGTTATATGTTCCTGAAGATATGTGTGTGTGTGTGTATTGTGGTCAAAATTTATAGTTTTATCAAGAAAAATTAAATGAAAAAATCATATTCCGAGGGTGGAAGCAAAACAGATCAGCCTGAGGCTAATTGAATGGCAGGCCGGGTGACCAAATTTATGAGAAGGGAATAATCGGTTGGTTGGTAGAAGACTTATGATACCACTCCGTCCCAAATTATTTGTCACATTTCTATTATCGACGCAAAATATCAAGTTTTTCAATTCATTTTATTTACATATTGGTAAAGAAATAAAAAATAAAAATTACATATCAAAAAATTACATGAAAAGTTCTTCGAAATAAGAGGTGTCAAGAATATTTTATTTTATTAAATAACCAATGAAAACGTTGAAATAAACAAAAATTCTCGCGACTGTTGACAAAGCAAATCTATCAAATAATTTGGGACAGAGGGAGATAAAACATTATACTCTCGATGTCTTGGAACAATAGAAACAAATGGATTTCACACATATTAAGGCAAAAAGTGGAGACACTCACTCTATTGTGATGTGGTCAAAATAAGAGAGAAAATATACTTTTCCGTTCTTGCAAAATTAGCCTCTTTACAATTCTGTGTCGTTGATAATTTTTGTCTGTGTATGTATTTTCATTAATCATTTAATGAAATAAAATAGTTATGTCACAACTTGTTTTTTAAAATTGTGATGTAGTTTCAAAATATGTAAGTTGTATTTTTATTTTTAGAGTTTTTTTGCACTATTTTTCCTTGAACTTTTTTAAAATGGCATGGATTCAATCCGAACTTCAAAATTTGAATCTGTGCCCCTTGAACTTTTAAAAATGCTACACTAATGTTCTCTTTGTGCTAGATTTGGGAGTGTGTTAATCACATGCTCATTAATATACATATTGGAGTTTGATAAGATGTCATGCATTAATGAAGAGGTTAACCGATTGATGACGAGCTTTATCGACTAATGTACGACTTTCAAATTTGGTTATAGACGGCTAAATTGAGAACACTTATCTAAGGTTTAAAGAAGTTGAAAATATATTTCCTCCGGTCTAAAAAAATCTTTCATGTTTTGACTTCTTCTAGTCAAATAGTAATACTCTATGATCATAAATTGTGAACAAAATATATTGAATTATAATATAAATTAAACATAATTAGGTTCATCTTAGGATATAGTTTTGATGTATTAAATTTTTATAATTTTTATGTATTCAGATTATACTCCGTATTTAATTTGTGGTTAAAGATTGTGGCAAGGTTACCATGACATTGCCCGGCAATGTCATGGAAACCTTGCCATAAAGAATGTCACCTTTTGACTAAAAAAAGTTAAAATATGAAAGGGTTTTTGGACCGGAGAAAGTAAAGGATAATGTTTGGAAAATGCATATTGCAGAAGTCACATGTGATATAATGACTTTAGATTAACACAAACCTGCATTGGATGAACATACGATTAATGCATTTTCAAATCTGAAACAGAGAGATCATTTAGATATTACATTTTAAAAAAATCATGGGATACTAATACAATTTTTAAAGTTCATAGGAATTTGCATAACTTTAAAATTTAAAAGTACGATAGGTGGTTTAAAGTAAAAGAGATGCCTTATGTTTTCTAGAAAGTGTACGAAAGAAGTGCTGAGTCACACGAAAGAATGAGTGCTAGTAAGTATGTATCATTATTGACGATCCCATATTCACAATGACAAGTACTCCGTAAGAAATAAAATGAGATACGGTGACATTGAAAGTTTTAAATAATAAAAAACAGTCCAGTCAGCGTGTGTCATGAGAGTGGAGTGGTATGTCATGCAGTGACAAGTCATTGTTTTTATCAATTTTACTTTTTTTATACATTTTAATCATTTAAATTTATTTTATTTATTTTTTTCAAATAAAAATATTTCAAAATTATTTAAATTTATTTTGTTTATATTTTTATAAACTACACTCTTTTAAAAAATATTTCTTATTTAAAAAAATAAACTAAAAAAAAATTTAGGTTTTTTTTCAAATTTTACATTTTTACATATTTCTTATTTTTACTACAGAGTATTAAAAATAAATTTACTTAGGTTTTTTTCAAAAAAAATACTTCTACTTTTTAAAAATCTTTTATTTTATGGAGAAAAAAAAGAATTTAAAAAATAGTTGCTTCGCCCATGACTTGCTAAGCATGACACATCTCTTCATCCACGCGAGGCAATTTAGGGACTTTGTTTATGGGGCAGGCGTGGCAGTGGCTCAGCCACGCCACTGCCAATGCTCTTAGACCACAAATAATCCACAACAACAATAATAAATTTAATAAAATAATAATTCAAGTCAATATCTCCAATCTCTTTCACACACACCTAACAATTCCCAGCCAATTTATACTCCGTACCAACTACCAAGAAGGAATTCCTTTTTTCTTCCTTTATATTTGTCCATTTTAATTTTTTAAAATCTAACAAAGTCAGGCTTAAATTAAACAAAAATTATAATATATATTTGTAAAAAAAAATTATTAAATATATCTAATTGAGAACTTTCACAGTTTTATTTAATCAAACTAATGTACAATACAAATTAAAAATTGTTGAAACTCAAAGTTTGTGACTCAGAAAAGTCAAACTCTTTATTTATTTATTTTGAAAAGAGGAATTCCTCTTTTTATTCCATAGCCAGGAGAGCAAACTAGTAGGAAAGCTGCAATTCAGCCATAAAGAAATAAAAAAAAAGGCAAACACTTCCTTAGCCTAAAAATTTCTGGAGCTGATCATATAATTTCTTCATCAGGTGATTATTTTCATTTTGTAATGCTCCCTCTATAATTTATGATGGGAGAGGACACTTGGACCAAATCCTACAAGAAATGACAATTTTTTTTTTGGCTTAGTTTTTTTTCAAGTCTTTCTTTTTCCATCTTTTCTTGATGGAATTCTTCCAGACTTCCACTATGTTTGATTCAAGGAATTTGGAAGGAAAAGAAAAGAAAATGGTTTTCTCTCATTTTCCTCACCAAAATGGGAGGAATTTGGTTTTCCCTCCACTTAGTACATTTTGCCTTATCATTTTCTTTTCCTTCCACTTTTTCTTTCTTTTCCTCTCTAACCAAACAAGAAAAAATGCTTTCCATTTCATTTTCTTTTCTTTTCTCTTTCAAATTCCTTAAACCAAACATAGTGTTCATGTTGGGAATTTGCAGTATGGTGAAGGTGGAACTCCAAAAATGGGTATATGGATTGGTGTGTTTTATGCTTCTTGTTTTAATAAGAACAAAAGGTTGCATGGTAAATATCACTTATGTTGAGGGTGCTGTGGGAAAAGGAGCAGGTGATGAACTTCAAATTATTCACTTCTATTGCTCTTTTCTTTAGGCTGATTTTGGTACACGGAATTCAAATTATGGAATTGGGGTAATATTTCCAATTCTGGTGTTTGGTTTTACAAAAATATGTAGATTTCGAATTGATGGTGCCAAAAATGAATTGAAATTGGAAAATTCAATTCCATAGAATTTCAACTTCCAATTCAATTCCAATTCCGTGTACCAAACGGACCCTTAGGCTCCGTTTGGTATACGGAATTCAAACTTTGAAATTGGAATTGAGGGCTTCAATTCCAATATTGGTGTTTGGTAGCACAAAAATTATGTGAATTTGGAATTCATGGTGCAAAAAATGAATTAGAATTGGTGAATTCAGTTCTATAGAATTAAATCCTGTGGAATTTCAATTCCAATTCTATCAATTCCATATACCAAACGGACCCTTAATGAAACTTCTTAATTTCCTCTTTTTTTTTTGGTTCAATATATGATGTAGTATGTTTGGATGGAAGTGCACCAGCATACCATTTGGACAGAGGATCTGGGGAAGGAGTTAACAATTGGTTAATTCATTTTGAGGTTGTACCCTCAATCTCTCATGCATCTTCAATATGCCACTTTAGGTGAAATTTTGTAATGGTGCAAACTCGACTAACCGAACAGCAATGCTGGTCACGAAACGATAAGGGAGAAGTGTAGAATTCGGCGTATATTATATCGTTCTGGCGTAGTAAAAATTACATTTTTTTCTCTCTAAAAAATCCTCGGTTGTTCCGTGTAGTTTATTTGGGTTTTTTCTTATTCGCATGTTAAAAGGGAGGAGGATGGTGCAATAATGTCACTACTTGCCTTGAACGTAGAGACACTAATTTGGGATCATCCACAAGAATGGAAAAACGGGTTGCTTTTGAAGGGATTCTCAGTGACCTCGCCTTAAGAAATCCGGGCAAGTATTCGACTCTAGTGATGGATGCTCATGTAAATTAAATAAAGCACAACATTTTCATTATCATGTCCCGAACTTGCAGACTTTTACAACTGGAACCGAGTCAACGTTAGATATTGTGACGGGTCGTCCTATACCGGTGATGTTGAAGCAGTGAATCCTGTAAGAATATTAATTAGTTCTTAGTATATTTGTTTCGGCTATGTAAACGAGTTATGCTTTCTTCATAAAGTAGCCCAAGAGTCATACGCTCCGTATTTGTCCACATTTTTCGTATTTAATTTGAACGAAAAGAATTTGATGTATTTAGGAAATCTTGCCACCAATTTAAAATGCTGAATGTAAATGCATCTTTTATGCATTGCCAGAAAACCAACCTTCACTTCAGAGGTGCAAGAGTGTTTGTAGCTGTTTTGGCTAAAAAATGTCGCCGTGCAGGCTTTATTGTCGGGATGTTCAGCGGGAGGGTTGACTTCCATACTGCATTGTGACAAGTTTAAAGGCCTCCTCCCGCCGAGTGCTACAGTAAAATGTCTTGCAGATGCTGGCTACTTTATTAACGCGTAAGGATTACTTTCTTAGCATAAACGTACTTACATCTCGGTGTTACTATTCTACTCCTTTCGTCGTGCCGGGAGTTGCCAATCTTTACTACATGTTGGGAATTCCCAATGTGACGGAGGGAGTAAAATCCTGATGACAAACAATGCCGGGGCCTTTTTGTTGGACAGGTTAGATATTTCTCGTACCCCACACATTGAACAGTTCTACGACGACGTTGTCACAACTCACGTAGGTTCACTCTAGTACTCTTCCCAAAATTTTCCCTACCTCTAGTACTTGTTTATCGAAATACGTTAATGAGGGATAACAAAAAAAAACTTAATTCGATGCTTTTTTTTTTTCAGGGATCAGCCAATAGTTTGCCCGGTTTATGCACATCAAAGATGAAGGCAGGTTTGGTAAGAAAACTCACTTTGGGATTCCATGTGGTATGTTGTGTACTAGTATCTGAAGCCAATACGTATATCCCTCGTTGCTGCATGCTGTCACAGTGTTTTTTCCCTCAAAACATGGCACGATATACCGAAACACCTCTTTTCCTAGTCAATTCGGCTTATGATGTCTGGCAGGTAAACACTAATTTCTTTTGGTAACATACTCATATCTATCATATGATTATGTTAGGTTGGTGTTTGTGAGTACTAAAATTTGCTGGCCTTCAGATATGGAACATTTTGGTTCCTGATGTTGTCGACCAGCAGGGGACATGGCTTAGCTGTAAGCTTAACTCCGAGAAATGCTCCGATGCTCAGCTTCAGACACTACATGGTTAATATACTAGCTTTCATCGTCACGACTTTAAATTCTATATTTTAATTTGCTTTGGACGATATTTGCGGCGGTTTTTGAGCCCTTTTTGCAGGGTTTAGGTTGGAGTTTTTGAAGGCATTAGATGGACTCGGCCCTGCTTCATCTAGAGGATACTTCATCAACTCGTGTTTCGCGCATTGTCAAATAGAAGCCCAAGAGACATGGCTTGCTAAAGACTCTCCTACGTTGAATGGCACGGTAAAGCTTATGTTTAGCCTATTAGAACTACTTGGGTCCACCCTAACTTCACGTTAGTGTGATATTGTCGGCATTGCGCCAAACCCTCACGGATTTCTTTTTGAACGCCTCTCCCAAAAGGCAAGTGTCATCATACAAACAGAGACGGGTTATCTTTAAATTATAAGTTCATGTTCATTTGGAAGCGCGACGCAACTAACTTGACCGTGACCATCCGTTACATTTTTGAGAGATAAGATTTGGGTTTTGTGTTTTGGATGCAGACAATAGCTAAAGCAGTTGGAGATTGGTACTATGATAGGAATTCTTTTCGGATAATTGATTGCCCATACCCTTGTGACAAAACTTGTCTCAACCTAAAATTCCTAATGAATTCCCCAAGGGGGGAAAGTGTATATGATGATTTGCAAGTCTTGAGAGTAAGGTAGTGTTTGGCAACTAGGATTTCATTTCAATTCCAAAATTTGAAATCTAGAATTTCAAAGGGGAGGGACATGGATTTAAAATTAAGCTTTGTTATAAATGAGAAGAATTTGATTCAAATTCAAAATTTGTAAGTTTCCCAAATATGGAATGTGAGCCAAATCCGGATTTGAAATTCAAATCCACGTTCCCAAACATAACATAAAGGAATTCTCACCGGGCCATAACTGAGGACCCATTGATAGTGTTTGGTGTATTTGGGCAAAGTAAATATGTACTCTAGGTGATCCCATTGTTTTTGGAACACTTTGTGCTATTTTCAATTATTTATCCATGTGTCCCTTTTTTCATATGATATTTTGTTAGATCTTAAAATTTTCTTTTGGTTTTTTAGCATGTCCTGAAAATATTCTTTTTTATCTAAAGTTTGTGTAGTTTACATCTATTCTACTTCTCTCGTTCTACAAATTTTTTTCAATTTTGACTATGGGAGAAAATACATAGAAATTTGACTAGGGAAGGATGACAACAATTAAAAGAGGATTTGAGAATTATCACTATACTCCATAATAGTTATTACAGAGTAATAGTCAAATGGGAGTATGAGTTTAACAAAAAAAGAGAAAAAAAAGTAAAACTGCACAATGGGCACAGTATGCTTGGGATTTACACAGTACTTGTATCGTACAAATAATAAATCAAACACTTTAATACAGTTTGATTTTACGATCAAAATAATTCAATATCATGTCACTTCTACCACTGCCAAGCCAAACCATAGTGCTTTAAGAATTAAAAAATAATAATTTTATTACAAAGTATTTGAGAAAAAAAGCTAATCAAAAGAAGTAAAAAATGTTTGGCATACCAACAAAAGAAATAAGTTTTGAGAAATTATAATTGTAAAATAAATTAAAAGATCCCATTTGAGCAATAGGTCGAAGTCTTACAAAAACATACAAACTAAAACTATTACGGAGCGAAAAATTACAAATGTAAAGGTGAAACTAACTGATTAATTTAACATTTTAATGGTAAAAATCTACTTAGGTATTTTTAGTTCTCATTTTTTTCTAGAACCATTTGAAATCTCAATTTTTGATTTGGTACCATAACAAGTTTGGCTATGAATGCTTTCAAAAAAAAGTTTCGTGGGTATTTTTGCCCACCTAAAAAAAGTACTATAATTGTGTAATGTGAATTTATGAGGCAGAGTAAGGCAGGGAGATTTATTAAATTGTCCACAGACAAGGCAAATGATCTGAAATTGTGAACAAATGAATCTCTTTCTTTACTCCTCCCTCCGCCACAAACCTAGATGAACAACAACTAACGACGAGAAGAGGCTATTAAGCAAATGGTACATTGCTCAATCAATGAATCAATCAAACATGTTCAAAATCAGTGCATAGAGGATGTCAAAATCAGTATTGCTCTGCACGCCCCTTATGCTAGGGGGCTCCGACATGGTTTTGAAAGTTAGTCCCTCTCACGATCAATTGCACTAACTAAACAATATATGTTGAAAAAGATAATGGCTGACATTGTTGCTAAGATCTTGAGCTAAAGATTGTTGGAATTTTTGGTATTTTAATTGGCATTAAATGGACCAATTTGGGTATATTTTTCAATAGGTCCACTAACGGTTTTAACCGTTTATTAATGGACGTGTGTTCTCTTAAATGAGATAAATGTTTTGACAATTTATACGCCAAAAATGGTAGAGGGTGAATGAGAAATTGATTCTCAGAGTTAACCCGTTAATAAAAGAATATGGTGAGGATTGCAATTTTACTGAACCAATCTTCTTTTATTAATTTTACGTATTGTTTAAAATTAGTCCATTTTTACGGAGTTAACTGGCCATTAATCTCCAATTATTCGGGACAAATTTTAAACGGAGCGTAGCGTAACGGACGTGTTAATGGCTAATTAATCACCATTAACACACCA